AAAAAATAGACAGATATCTCGAATAGAGCTCGAAACTATATCGCAATATCTACAATTTAAAGAACAATAAAGTGTTACTTAGTTGGAGCAGAATCGGGTAAAAGAACGTAAGCTTATTATAAATATAAATAAATTACATTCAGATACAAAAAGTAAACACAAAAAAACCTTGGGAATATAGTTATGCTAAGGAGCCAACGTGAACCTGTTGCCCGTTATTAAGTAAAGTTAACAAGATATACATATTCAAAGACTGCTTAAGTATACAGCTTGAAAGTTCGTATAAATAAATTTAAAAGTGAGCTGCTAAGACAACCGCGTTCCGATGAAGGGCATAGGAAGAAGACAACACCGCGGCAAGTCGACAGCAACGAGTTGTGCATCTAATAAATTTCCAAAAGGTTCGCTGAAGTAAAGCTGATTTTGTTGTTGTCGTCCTGTTGCTGATGGTCCTGGACAATTGCTTAAGAAACTTGGGAGTCGATTTGCCTTTGGCTAAGCGAACGTAAAAACTTTTTGCAGCATTGTAAACAAATCCCAATACACAATTCAATGCGCTTCAACACGCCTTAATGTATGCTATACAGTGAAAGTTGCAGAGTCGGACAGACAGAGAAGGAACTAGTTACATACCGAGATAAAAACAAAAACAGAGGCAGAGACCAAGGATGAAAACGAAGACCAGAGAACGAGAAAACGACACGGAGTGGCTTTGAGAATTGTGCTGCATATTATTGTATTAGTTTTTGTTTTGGCCAAGGGTCCCACAGAGTTGTTGCCAGCAACACAAATGGAATGTCTGTGTGTATATATACATATATATATATATATATATATATATATATGTGTGTGTGTATGCTTGTGGCTTTGACATGATGATGTACAGCACAGATGCGAACCATCATTTCGCTCAGTTCAGCCACTCCACTCTGTTTGTACTTCAATCTGTTGGTTTGGTCCTGGCAGTCTGCAGGGCCTCTGTGTGCTGTTGCTGCTGCTGCTGCTGTCAATTGGCCATTGGCATTTTGTTTGCAAAACATATCACAAACTTTGCCAAGACTCTTTCAATTTCTGCCTGGCTGTGGGGGCCACTTTTATGTGTGCTCTTAAGCTTTTGGCGCCTGTTCATTATGGCTGCCTTATTATAATAATATGCTTATCGAGTGGCCCAGTTCACTGAACTCGGCTGAGCCAATTGAGCCATAAAATGCAAAATGTTGTCCTCATCAAACTGATATTCCATAACAATAAATAAAAATGAAATTAATTTCCGTTTTGTCTGCCCAAGCACACACCTGCTAAAGCGGCAGCCATTTTGTTCGAAACTAATGTCGAATAGCTAATAGGCAACGTACCGGAAATGAAACTTGGAATACACAGAAAGGAGATATAATTGCCTATAATTGGCATTCGATTGGAAACATCAAACGAACAAACCGCAAATTGGATATTGCTCGACTCTTATGATTTGATGATGCTGAATATTCAAAAGCTAAAAATCCGATCCAAGTCCTATAATTTCCCGATTATAAATATTGTTTTAATCAAGTCAGAAGTTTGTCTGATGCAAATGTCTTCTTCCCTAAATATGCTGCATATTTTTGCATATTCATAGTATGTATCTCAGTCATTTTTATCAATTGGTCAGTTTCTGTTTATTAAGCAAACAAATTAGTTGGTCGATTTCACTACTGCTCAGATTTGCATAACCCAAAACGTACACAACTCTATACGTAAGCATATATACACACCAGCGTATACTATATAACTTGGTATACTAACTATGCAGTATTATCAAATTGTGTATAGCTGGCAGACAAAGTCGATTTGCTTCAACTTTTGGCTAATATCCTGTCGCCGCATTGGCAAAACTATTTTCGACGGGCTATCGAAATTTTTGTTGTGATTTTTAATTGCTTTTGCTGGGGGCGCTTGAGTCTTAATTATAATTTGAATTGCTTTTACGACTGCCGCAAAACTACGGCCATTATTTTGATTGCACTGCTCAGGGCTTTAACATTTTTCTACGTTGAATGTTACTTTGAAAGCTTTTGTTAATTTTCGGCGCATAATTGTTTGGGGCTGTCGAAACTACAGAATCGTATGCGTAGTAAATTTTCGAAAATTGCTTTTTATGCTCATTAATTAGAAATACAATTTCCTGAGGCGTACAACAGCAGCAGGATGTGAACAATGCTCCAGGGCTCTGGCTGACACCTGAACAACAATACTCAGTTACATCCGGTCAAAGGGAAGACCAGCTGGGCTGACTGATGAGATTAATTAAGGCAAGGCAAACAAAAGGATTTTAGTTTCATGTATACAAACTTGGCATGCTTGTTGTTATTACTGCTATCGTAGTTGTTGCTGCCGCTGTAGCCTGACTGGCAGCAGTGCGTATGCCTGCTGGCATTTTTATTGACAAGGACACATTAATTACTCAATGACATTGTAATCAAATGTAAGCATTACCTGAAAGAGCTTCTTGATTGTTGTTGTTATTGTACTGGCTGTTCAGGCATTTGTCGTTGAGGTTGCTGCTCCCCTTCCTGTGCGTGTGTGCAAGTCAAAGTTCAACTTTGGTCTGTAAATCTTTGTCGCTGTCAATATTGCGCATACGCCACCATCACTCAAGTCCAGAAGCGCGCGTGTTTACCTTTGTACGTTGTACCGTGTCAATTCTAAGGACGCTCGTTCCAAGTATGTATGTGGGTGTGTATGTATGTGTGTGTGTGTGTTATTAATTATGTAATTATGTAGTAAATGTGCGTTCTGTGAGCAAAGTATCTCTTGTGTTATATAGAGCAAAGTCTACATTGCTGAAAGGGTTTTGAGCCACTTAAAGTGTTTGTGTGCATCTATATAGTTAGCCTTCTTTAAAGAGAGCGGGTATATTAAGCAACATTGTTCATAAAGGAATTGGTTTAGAGTTCAAGACGGTTGCTGGACACACAAGAAGTATTGCGTTTGAGTGTAAGGTTAAGATGAAAGTAAAATTATGAAGGTATCATGATAAGTTGGTGTCAAAGAAACTTTCTACATTTCAAGGATTCAAGATAATAAAATAAGCTTTAAGAATTGAACAAAAAATAGTCAACATGTTATTGAAAACATTATCATTTTGGCTTAATCATTTCAATAGCTTTAAAATAAATCAATTTTACAGATAATTAACTAGTGTTTGCCAACATAACCAACAATATGTAAACCAACGCGAAGAGAAATCTGAGCTATCACAATTACGACACCAGCTCTCAAACTTTGTAATTTCTTCAGTCACCTGAAGTTGAGATGACAAGCCGCAGTGTTCGGAGAGGTGCGACCTAGGACAGGACTGGCCTGACGCAGGCACAGGACCATAAAAAGTTTCTCTTGGCATTTCCGTTGCGCCGTGTGCTACATTTGTCTCGTTTTCCCGGCTGACGACATGCCACGCAGCTGCGGCAGGAATAGGAGCTTGTGCGTCAAGGGTCGCTTGCCTGGTCTCGCATTACGCCAAGGCACGCATTTAAAATCCAAATTAAATATTTCCGCATGAAACTCAAATCTTACAACTGATTAAATATACCAGCGTCAGATGAGAGATGTTGGTTTTGGGAAAATTGCTGCGGGGCAAGTCAAAAAGGCAGCGCACGTAAATTGCGACAAATGTGCTTCTCGTGTGTGTGTGTGTGTGTGTGTGCCTTTGCATGTACGTGTGTGTGTGTGTGTGTGACTGTGTATATTGCAGTATGTGTGTGTAATTGGTATGCCAGTAGACACAGGCTTTGCGGGTTCGGCTGTAGCTGTGTCTACAACTAACTCACTGTCGCATTGCGTTCAACATTTTAACATTTAACATAAACTCATCTACGTCGCTGGGGTAATTTTGTTGTTCTTTGCCCGCACCGAAAGCGTCCCGCGCTCGTCCCCAAAACTTTATCCTACACAAAAAACTCATTAGCCCGTCCAGAGCGGCTGGCAACTGTTCCCAAGTGCACGCCATGTGCAAGATGACTGGTTGTTCCTGTTTTATGAATGAATTTAGCTGCTCGCATTCAGAATCAGAATCGCATTCGCCTTCGTATTTGATTCAACTTCACCTGCTTGAGTGACTGAGTGCGCAAAATGGGAAATGACAATGAGGCGAATGCCGCAGAAACGAAGATGAAACTTTGTCCTTTGCTTTAGCTTTAGCTTGGTGCAAGTCGAACTTCACTCACTCCTACATCCGTTTACCCCTTGCTTAGTTGCCTCATTGTACAGTTACAACTTGTTCAGGCAACGACAAGTTGATCGTTCTGGCCAGGGCAGAGTGAAAATCATTTGCACGGTAAAACGTTTTTCGGTAAACTTGACTTGACTTAGATTGTGGAATATAAAATAAAATTACCAACAAATTGAAAATTGCATCCTGCGTGCTATGTCTACGGTTCATCCCCACTAACTCCTCCCCAACTGTCCATTCTTGGTTGGGGCACGAAAACTTTTCTATTTTGTACCCAAGGATTATGCTATGAATATAAAATCTTGCAAATTTACACACAGACACATGTAGAAAGTAACTATAAGTTGTGGTCGTGATGTTGCAGCGGGCGTTGCAGAGGTTATGACTCTGTGCATGTCTGTGTCTGATTGGGATTTCTGTGCACTGCAAGAAATGACACTTTCAATTAATTACAGTTTAAGCTTCGAAACTTATTGAAAGCCTTCATAAGCAAGAAGAAGTTGTGAAAATCTTCCTTAAATAATTTTAAAATAATGTTGACTATATTTGAATAAGTCAAAAAGTTTTAGCTCTCTTTACAAGCTTGTAATTTTAACGCTTTTGAACTGGTACTGTCTCAATAGGAAACTTCTCTAAGTTTTTTTTTTTTTAATTTCTCAGATGTGCAAACAAGTCGGGCACTTAGAAAACGTCAAGCTAGTTTGTCAGATTGACGGAACTTGTTAGCTCAACGTCGCACTTTAAAGTATTCAACAGACTGATACAGTTCACAAACTTACACACAAACAACACAGACATACACATAAATACAGCATGCCCTCGAGGTAAGTGAGCTCAGTGTAGCATCTCAAATTTGCTGTAATTTAAGCAACTTACTTGCAGTTTTTGTCGCTGCATCCTGCGGCCAAAGGAAGCGGAGAAGTTGAAGCAGCAGCAGCTGGTGATGCTGCCGCAAGCGCAATCATAAGCCAACACCTAAGCACGTCAACAACACTGGCAGTCTCCAGGTAACAAAACTCACAGCCGACTCTGCGCCCCGTTGTCTTCATCAACGGCAACTGCTGTTGCCGTTGCTGCTGCTGCTGTTGCTGCTGCTGCTAACGTTATTTAGTGTGAGAGCAAGAGAAACTTTTTGAAGCTACTACAAGTAAAACTAAAATTTGCCAGATCATTGCTTCCGCTACGTGCAAGGATTCACTGAGACTGGTGACTGCAGCCCAGACTAAGGCTGCAGTTGCTTGGCACGGATTTCGTTACCATAGCTGCTGTGCTGCATACATAAGCAATTTCTGTTTTTTGGCCAACTGCAATGTTATAATGCTATAATGCATATAGTACTGCAGTACAGCAGCAACAGCATCGCATGTTGTGATTGTCACCAGTAAAAAACTTGTGTACAACTTTCCAGCCAAGCTTGAGTTTGGTTTAGCTTGTGTTGGCTCAACGCCCTTAAGCCATATGCGGTTGGCACAAGTTTGAGCAAATTAAATGTTAATTACATTGCTGTGGTTGAGCAACCTGTAACCATAAAATTGGTAACAATAAGTTTTAGAAAGTTGTCAGCATATATATCCGATGATAAGTGCTGGTTCTTCGTTCATTTTTACCTTCTCATGAATGGTTTATTTTAAATTTGTTGATACTTTAAGTCAGCTCACACCTATTTACAGGGAATCTTTACATCGATGATTCTCGACTATGGTTTTCTTATTTCTTATTTGTTTTTTTTTTAATATTTTTTATTTGCTTCTGGTGCTTGCTTTGAAAATAAAGTTAAACATAATTTCTGCACGGATTGCCTCTTTACAGCTGGCAAATGCGAAATCAGAAAATGCAGCTTATAGCTTCGGCTCTAATACTGACTGCTTACTGTGTGCTACTTGAGCGTAAATTGCACAGCTCCAGCAGAGGAGCCAGAATCGGAGTTGGAGTTGGAGTCCGAATCCGGAACACACAAAGCCGCGCAGTCAGGCGAGTAAAGTGTGGGCAGGGTAGCTTTGCGAGCAGCAAGAGCAGCAGCAGCAGCAGCAGCAAAAGTCAAGTCAGTCAGAAGCAAGTAGCAGCTAGTGCCCAGTTACAGCTTCAGCTTCAGTTTCAGCTCAAGTTTTAGTTTCAGTCATTGAGGCACTATAAAACAGCAATGAATGGTAAATCAAGCAGCCGGCTTCAACTGCTTTTGGCTTAATTTTGCCGTTACACTCATTCGAGTAGAAGGGGGGCAGTAACAGTAACTGCAGTCAGTATATAAACTGCAAGACGCATATAAACAAAAGCAGGCACAAAATAGGCCGAGTGCAAAAAGGTGCCGGTTGCCCGACATGGGAAACCTGACAAGAGCTTGTAATTAGTACAAGGGGATACTAAATCTGAGGCAAAGTTCATTTACGGATTATCAAAGCAAGTTGTATGAAGATGGGGGTAAATAATGGTGCATATGTAGTTAATGGATTGATAGATAGTCCATATACTTGAGCCAAATTGCAAAGAGCTGTTGCTAATTAATCAAATGCGTTAGTAATTAAGCAACCTTAATCACAAGTAGTACTCTCTTATCCTATATAATTTCAAATTGAAATTTGAAGTATGCTTAAATTCTATACTTGTTTTCTTCAGTATTCGTCTGTGAGCCACACTCAAAATTGATGAGATCTTTCTTCATAGCTTTGCTCTAGACTATGGAGTATCTCCAAGTCGAGAAAATTTATTAGGTTGCTTAGTTATGGAAAAAAATGGCTGAAGGGTACATATAGTTGCAAAAAAGTGTATACATTTTAAGCTCAATCATTCATAATAGACTAAGAATAATTTTCTCTTCACTATTCTGAAATTGTAATCAACTCTCTCATATTAACTATAGGAAATCAGGTGAAAGTCGTATATTTTACGATCGCTGGAAGCTGATTTTATGCAGGCGAACGAAGCTGATAAATAACAACCATCCGATTTCATTGCTGCTGTGTTGCTGTGCAGCACACCTGACAGCTTAACTATCTGTTAAAAAATAAAGGAAAACGAACTAAAAATACATTTTTGTTTTTATTGGCTGCCAAGCTTAAAAACTTTGAATTTCTATTAAATATCTGGCGCCCACGTCGTATACGTAATATCAGATTACGGCGCCGGCTTAAAGGCAAACAAACAAAGAGGGAAAAAAACAAAAAGAAAAAGAAAAAATAGCAAAACAACAAAGGTAAATAGGGAAAAAAAAGAGTGCAGCAAACAAAAACGCGGGCATAAAATAAAATGGAAATTACACAGAGAGAATCAGAGAGCGAGAGAGAGAGAGAGAGAGAGAGATATACAGAGACAGGGCAAGATAGAGTAGGTGGAAGGATTGGGTTCGCTGAATCGGTGTAGTTGGCTAGGAATGGAGGTGCTTACGCTTTTTTAATTACCTCGTTTAAGGCAACGGGGGCCTTGAGCTTCCATTCGCATACGACTGTATGTGTGTGTGTGTGTGTGTGTGTGTGTGTGTGTGTGTGTGTGTGTGTGAGAGCTGGAGTGTGCCTGTATACGTGAGCTTTAACGTATTTGTATTCATGTATTTTTGTATTTGTATTTGTCTGTGTGTGTATTTGTTTGTGCGCGCTTTTATCAACTCGTTTCGCCGTGTTTTACTCACTCGCAGACGTTGCCATAAGTTTTAATTAAAATTACTTTGCCCGCTGCTGCCTGACGGCTGCTGTTGCTCCTCTTGTTGTTGGTGTTGTTGTTCTGGCTGCTGGTTGAGTGTTTTGCCGTGTGCTTTTTGTTATTTGCTGTTTGGCCGCTCACACTCGCCAGTTGGGCTTGCGTGTGTTTTTTGCGGTTTTTTGTTTCTGCTGTTGCTGCTGTTGCTGCTGGCGCCGGCAGTTTGTTTGCGGCCCGCGTCTCTGACATTGCCCCAGCGAATGACAATGGCGCGGTCGCGGCCGCATTCGCCGTCGCAGTCAATGGCCGTTGGCTTTGCGTTGCTGCAGTTGTTGTTGTTCTCAAAGTTGTTGCACACTTTTAGGCCGACCGGATATTAAAAGCCGTGAAAGTTGCAAAATATTGAACCATTACTCAACTAAAAACGTACGGAAAATGCTAAAAATTACATATATAGAATATATATATATTTGCATGTGTTTAAATGGCAACCATAAAACACGAGATTTTTATATTTCTCTTGGAATTTCACAGCTATATTAAAAAATGCATTAAAGCACAATAAAGTTAATTATTGAAATGCAATTATAATAAATTAAATTTTAATAATTACATTGCTCTTGTAATGCGACATATGTTTTAAAATCTGTTGAAATGCTTGTAGAAGTTGCATTTAAAAATATGAAACGCACATATTGAAGCTATAATTTAACAGATGTTAAACTGGGCGTAACAATTCAATGCCAGTTAGCATCAAAGCGCAGCTTTATAGGCTTTACCCGCTGCTGACGTCGTCATCATTCAAACAATCAGCGAACTGTGAAGCGACGCGCCAAAACGAGCGACTCTAAGCGCGCATTTCAACGCTTGGTTTGGCTCGACTTGCCGCCACTCGGTGCTGCAGCCAGCAGCGAGGACCTTTGGCAGTGGCACAGGCGGTGGTCCTGGAGTATATTTGCCACATGCTGATAAGCAGACATAATAATAAAAAATGTATGAGCTGCCTCGCAAGCGGCAGCCATAATAAAATGTGCAAAATAAAATGAAATGGCGAATAACCACAGAGTATGGGCAGCAGGAATAACAGAACCAGGATGGCGGCAACGGATGTGCGCCAAAAGCAGTAGCGGAAACGTTGCACAATTTTGCGGCGACAGTGCGACGCGGGCAGAAGGGCAAAGAGTGAGATTTGACAGCGGGTGGTGGGCTGAGGAAACGCGATATAATGAACTCAAAAGTTGGCCAAAGAGTTTTGAACGTTTTGCTAATGAGAGCTTTGAAAGGCGACAGTGATTATCAGGGCAGGGCTCAAAGTTCAGACGTCAAAAACAAGACCATAGTTCAACATACGCTTTCAACTCAACTTTCCAAAGCATCGACTAAGTCAGCGAAAATCACTGCTTTGGCTGTGTACACTACGTGAAAATTGGCGAAATGAAGCCGAAAGAGATTTCGTAAACCCACAAAAAATCAAAAACACTAATAACGTTTGTTGTTGCACAAAAAAATGAGCGCAAAATATTTATTTTGCTGTTGTTGTTAACTCTCTGCGCCCCAGGCGACAACATTCATGGCCTTTGGCATTAAGAACTTCCATAAATTTCTAAGAGAGCACCCGAACAGCAAGCGACGATGTCTGCTTATGATTGATACTTGAAGCTGGCAGCGATGTCGACAACGCCACCAAAATGTATTGCCAAACAGACGTTGACATTCACGATCCCTACGACATCGGCGTTGCTGTTATTTGTTTGCGCTGTCAGTGTTATCATGGTTGTCGCGGTCGTTGTTGTTGCTGTCATAAGCAGCACAATTTAATAATAGATTCATTACACACACATATATAATATTAGCAGCTCCCCTCACATAACACTCAAACTCACTGACACATTTGCGAATTCAACTTCCCGGGCGCAGCCTGTCAACATAGCTGGGAAAATATCGCCACATTTTTCACACGACATTTTGGGGATGCTCAGCTTCATGCGTATCATTATGTCAACAGAAAATAAGTGTCTCTATATAGAATATAATAAATTGAATATATTTTCATCAGCAATAACAGCAAGCAAACACATTACAGCTACAGCAATAGAAAAACAACAATATCAATGAAAACATCATGTTAACAAAATGGCTAAGAAATCCTCCAGCAAATGGTAGCAATAAAACTAATAGAGGCTAGAGGAGGGTCTCACAATAGGGCGACAAGTGATATGTGTTGTAAACAAAAAGATTGGGAGAATTTCCAGAATGTGCTCTAACAAGCGGGAGTAGTCTGAAGAGTTATGTGTAAACAGATACATTCAGTATATTTTCCCAATAGAAAAATTGTATAAATTGTATGAATGTCTTACAGTTTGTCGATTACTTTGCTAACTCAGTTTTCTATTTCGGGATTGATATTGCCTAAAATTCAAAATAATCTACTTGTTAATACTTTAATATGTTATAAGCAAACTGCACCCACAATTATAATCAAGCTGTTGGATATTTAGTATGCATATCTATGAATTAAGCTCTTCTGACAAGATAAATATACTTGTTCAATAGACCCTCGCAAATTTATATCTGCGTTTCGGCAAGACATTGCATACTTATTTATATGTAATAAAAGCACACATCTATTTGCCCCGATATATCAGGCAAAATGTCGCATTACTAACTATACTATCCTATCTTATATTCCTCGTATCTGTAACTGTCTGTCAGCAACTGAGCGCAATTGAAACGAGGCGACGAAGCGCCAACATTTTGGAAGTTTATTTGGCAGCCGGATGAGAAGTAGACGTGAAAACCGCCGAGATGTGCCAGCATTTCAACGCCATCAGCCAAACGCGTCGCTTCGGCTGCTGTTGTTTATCTGTTGCTGTGGTTTTTGTTGTTGCTGCTGATGCTTATTATCTTGAACTGCCAGGCAGACTTAACACCAAGGAACCACATCAGGACCAGTGAAGCCTTTTCCATAAGCAGTTGCGCCTCTTGCGACCGCCGAGAACTTTCAATAAACTTTGCCGTCGTCTTGGCATAAAAATTTCATCTGAGCATGCTTTGATATTTTATTTATTTTTATTTGTGTTGCCCACAGTTGATGATATATATATATTTTTTTGTATTTCTTTTTGTATTCTCTCTTATTTTTCTTGCGGGCAACTTCTAATCAATTCCAAATCATTTAGCACACGCATGAGAGCTGACAGTATGTAAGTATACAATTTGTGTGTGTGTGTTGATTTGTTTGTGTGTGTGTGTGTGGGGAGTAATCGCCATTTTGCTTAGGTTAAAGCTGTGGGGCTTTAAGACCGTTGCTGGCCATAAATCAGGGGCGTGACGGCGCACAAAAGGCAGCTGACAAAGCCCAAAAGCTGTGCGGGTAATTATGACTAATTAACGTGCCGAATGACCCCCAATACCACAAAGCAGATCTCTCGCTCTCTTTCTATCTCTCTCTTTCTCTTTCTCTCTTAAGCCGCTGTCCGAGCTGTCCATCGATACTTCTACGAGATGCCTTAATAAAATCATCAAATTTGCCTGGATCCAATATAAAAGGCTTTTGGCCAAGCCATAAAAACTTCGTCGCTCGCAATCCCAATGCCATTTTGATATGCCCCACACGCGCCACGGCTGATAAACTGAACAGCGTTGGCCATTTATGGTCGCACATGGTAGCCGGCACTCGATACGTTATATAAGTGGCATAAATTTTGGTCAAGAGGTAGCCAGCTCTACGCGGCAGTGAAACAATGGCGTATTATGACACCCGAAACTTGGTCACATGTGCATGTGGGCCAGGGAAATCACTCTGTAAACAATGTCCTACATATATGAAAAAATCGATCTATCTATCAAGAAACACTTGAAACCGGCTCCAAAGCTTCAAGAGCTATTCCTTTTTCAAATCTGCCCCAGTGCTTTCTGATTATGGGTTCTCCCATAATACTATTCTTAAATTTGGAAACACTATTTCCGTTTAAAACTCATCATAAAATGCTATTCCCCAAAATCCAGCCAACAATTCGACAATTTTTACTTACTCAGCACTTTAGAGCAATTTATGACAGTTCACTTCTGCGTTTCATACACAATTTTGTTACAGTTAACAAAAAATAAAAATAAAAAAAAATAGAATCAAGTAAACGCTGCTCTTTGACATTGTTTCACTTTGCACTTCACACTTGGGCGCTGCTATCTTTAGTTTGTCGTCTGGCTTGAAGTACATTTCTTCGGCAGCTATCCTTATTTACTCTCCGGCTGGACGAAATACGCAACTCTGCACGCTTCTTTTGTTCGCTACAAATGTTCATAAATAAGTTGATTAGCTTTTTATGTGTCTAGCGCTGAGCGACATTTTGAGTGGCAGCCACAAGAACAGGGCGCCACGGCAGGATGCAGCATAAGGACAGTAATTGAAAACGGTACTTAATGCGTGATTATTATATTCTCTGAAGCCTGCAAATAACATGATAGGGCGAAAAAGCAACGCTCCATTGACGTTCTTTATTATATACTCGTACATTATTAAATGTGTGTGTGAATGAAAAGTGCGTGTTAAGCGACTTTTGTTCTAAAATAAAAGGCTGGCCAATGGTTCGCAGCAACGATTACCAACAATAGATTACATATCAAAACATGAGTTTTTAAAATCATCAGTTTAACTAAACGCTTTAGTTTATAAGTACCAGTTCAGCAGTCGGTAGTACACACAATGCATTCAATACAAGGTTTTTTGACCAATCATTAGTGATTGCGCTCTCATATCCAATTTTAAAAGATTTGAATTAATCGTAAAAATCCATTGAAAATGGCGCTGATGAACTTCTGCCTCAAGTAAACTTGAATCGTTATTAACTTCCTAGTCAATTTACAATTTTCCCTTTTCATATGCCCAAAGAATGTTTCTTGGCTAAAGCGGAAAGTAAGTAATGGTTATTTGTCTATACTAGCTTATAACCATGTAAACTCGTATATGGTAGTTTCTCATCACAATTTCCGCATGCTGAGCTGTCTCTGGCCCCAAACTCAATTCAAACAAAGCCAGAAACAGAAAACTTTATTTTAACAACTTTTCGGGTTACAGTGCTACGAAGTTCATAAGTATGCTTAAAAACTACTTGCCAAATTGTTTAGCATTGCTATTTCCGGTTGATATACGCAAAACGATTGCAATACAATCAATTTTAATACCCTATATCCATAAAAAGAGTCAAATGGTCCTTGCTCGATTGCTGTGTTCATAAAATTAACGGCTAAATGAAGAAATTTTGTAATAAAAACTTTTCCAAGATATAAAAAAAATGAAGTCCATTTATTAAGTTGCGGAAAAGTTTCTAGTCTTAACGAGCTTTTTAGAAATGTGAACGAAAAATGTTTAAAGTTGCAATTTAAGGACGGTATCTAGTTGTCGAGCGGTTTGCTGGTTGCAAATTTTACTGGTTTATCAGTGGCAGTTGCTTCATTTGCAACTGAGATTTATGAATGGAACCATTGAGTACCGGTAACTGTTTTTCAAAAATGTTTAATCATTTAATGTGCGACATCTCCAACTTTACCCAGCTCCAAATGCATTTCGCATAATTTGTTTTGTGCACTGAGACATGCAGTGGCATCAACGCAGCCCTCTTCCACCAACCCACCGCCATTGCTTCGCCCAGTCTATTTGTATGCTGTCATGTGCGGTGCCAGGGCAGCGAGGGCTGAGATAGGGCGGTGTCGTGTTTGTATATTGTATGTTGTGCCAAACAGCAACCCTACCACGCACTTGCACTCTCACTTTAATGTGTGTGCCAGCCAGCGACCTACGAGCCCCCAAACGATGTCATTTGTCCTTTGTGAGCTCACGTGTTACATGCAAATGCTCTTCCTGCCCAGAACAGAAGACTTACAACTCACAGCTTACAACTTGACGTTGTAGCTCCTGCTGCTCCTGCTACTGCAATTGCTGCAGTATTTCTTTGTCTTGGGCAACCCAGTACTTATGGGGGAGGTTAAGAGTGTGCGCAAATAAATATTGTAATGATGTATGTGATTTCTTTTATGCCAGGCTACACAAAAGAAGCTCATGCCTATCAGTTTATTGAAATCTCTTTAGCCAAACGACAACTCGGCTCAAGTGTCGACCCACTTGAGCACAATCATAAAAAAAAAATGCAACATTTGCATGGCATTCATATTAATGAAGTAACAACCTGGCAATACAAAGTCATTAAACACATGTTAAAAGCATGTGCCGTAAAAAAATCAATAAACAATCAACGAAAGAAGTATAAATAATAAAATGAAATTGGTAGGCTGAAGCGCAGCCTCAAGGCTGCAATTATGAGTTTGCAGTTCGCAGTGCTGTTAAAGCTGCCTATGCAAAAAAAATAAAAATAAAAAGGAAACCATGCGAAATGCGTTGACGATTGCATTTTTCAAGTGCACAGCAATATGAAGCGATGTGTTATACGGTGGGTGTATTTTTCGCTGAAAATGTTAAGGAGTGTGTGCTTCACACGCATACGAACACACTCACATATGGTCATTGCGTTGACGCGCGAAAAATCATGTATACCAATTAAATGCAACGGACAACGCCCAAAAAAAAAAAAAAAATGTCACAAAAAATGTGTGGCAACTGCTGTCAATGACAGCGCAAATAAATGCAACAAAGTTCATGAAAAACACGCAAAAATGAAAATCAATAGCACTGCGTATATGTAGATGGAGGCATGTTGCACATAGGGCAGTATATAGCTGCATCCCATATAGGCGGCATGGTCAAACGCTGTTCGCCATGCAGTGTGGGCATTTGTCATAACAGCAGCAATAATCAGGACGACAAGCCTACAACAACAACAACAACGACAGCAACAGCAACAGCAACAAAAGCTGCGCAGCCAGACGAGGTGCAGTGACAACAATAACAATAACAATAACAGCAGCAGCAGCAGCAGCAGCAACAACAAAAACACGGCATAAACACGGGAAACGGACACGAACTGTGCAGGCCCATCCATGTTGACGTCAGTCACACAGCGTGCAAATGTTGACCTACATACAAAACGCTGAGCAAACAGGCGTATAAATGCCACGCCAACCAAAAACAAAAACAACAACGCTTTTAACAGTAACAGCAACAACATCATCGCGCAGTGTAGATAAGTCTGCTTTTTGTCCAGTTGCCAACGCATTGTTAGAAATATAGTGAACATAGTCATAGCTATATAAAGCTTTATCTATAGCTATCGTTGTTGCTGCAGTCCGTGCTATTATTGTTTTTAATTCTAACCAGCATCATAATTGTTATGTAGATTTATAGAATTGGGTTGGCAGCCATGCTGGTAGCAGGAGGCAGCCTTGCCGTTCAGTGTCCAGCAGCGGATGTGAAATAACCATTAAAACAAGCAATCTGTGTGTGCACTGTGGTATATATACATGGTGCATAAAACTTTACTTGAACTGCATAATATAATAAGAATATTAAGTATCAGATTTCATGCTTATGCTTGAAAATATTGTGAAATAATAATTCTCTGAGAAGTATTCTAATGATCTTATACAACATTTAAGACGGTATATTTGTTTTTATCAAAAGTAGACCCAATAATTTTTTATTGTTAGCTTTGATTGCGTATTTAAAATTGAATTGAATTTAATTCATACTGCAAGAAGTAAATATTTGTCTCTTGCTTAATAATATATTATAAGAGAATTCATTACTATTCATTTTAGATATGATACGTTATATCTCATGATGATCTCCATAATAGGTACATGTTTCCTTGGCACTGAAATACGGACGGTAATTTGGTAGCGGCCAGCGGGATGAAAGGGTGCAATTGTACGCGAATTCATATTCTGTAGGTAATAAACCTTGGCCACAATGGGACAGACGCTGATGGTGTTATTCACAATCATAACTTTTAAGGGGTAAGCCATTACCTTGCTTATTAACGGATTTTTGAGAAACGAACAGCCATCAAAATGATTGAGCTTGTACATTATTTGCTGAGACCTTATGGAGCGCATATTTATATCGATAAAAAAAATTGGCGCTGTTTTTAACACCCGAAAAGTGTACACACTTGAATTATTAGGCAATTTGTGGAAGTATTCTATAACATCGTGATCACATTTGGTTTCCAGTGATTCCATGACACTCTGCATTCTCCGACACAGTACCTATAAGAATATACATATATATATCAAAAATCACAATTAGGAATTTCCGGCGATGCCTTTTACCTGTCCTTTGTATTGAACAGCAAGTGCAAGCAGAATGTAAAATATGCCAACTATACTTGACCGCATAGTTAACTGTCAGATACCGAAGTTAATTTAGAATGAGTTTGATTTCGATTACTTAATTTCTGAATACGTTGAATAATGAATCGAAATTATAGTAATTATAAAGATATTAAAATATAAATTTACTGGAACAAGTTAATCGGCTCTTACTTATGTCATGGTCCATTAGATGTCACTTGAAATGTGAAATGAAATGTGAACATGTTAGAAACTGACAGTATTTTAGGTTTTGAGTATTAATGAATTTATATATGAAATATTTTATAGTTCCACATGATCGCTATTATTATATGGTTAGTTGTTAATAGCCAATCGGGGTAATGTTTATCACTTTTAAGACACCAAATATATTTTTATTAAAAAAACATCGGAAACTTGAAGAAGCTATAAGATTGCAAAAACACTCTGTTAATTAATGGAATTTACAGTCTTAAAAGTAAGAAAGCTTTTATGGCCCATTAGCTAAAGTATGGAAGATATTCTACTATATTATCAGTTAAAATCACAGATACATTTTCAGTACCAATTTAAATGAGCTGTTTAAGAATTAAAATATATGTAAAAAAATATGTGCAAAATAAAAATTACAATTAATTTGAAAATTTTATTTCATTTTATAGACGGATTAAATACAAATTATGTTCTCAAAATGACTACCTTGTATTTCGCATTAATTTCCATAACAAATGGTGCTTTACTCTGTGGCATTTTAACCCTCATTTTATATTGGAACTGACCAGCGGGATGAAATGAGGGTAACTTTAAGGTTACAACTAGACTTCTTATGAAGTAAATCTTTGGTTTCATAGGGCAAGTAAATGATTCGTTCACAAGCATACTTCGATAGACTTCACCCAATACTTTCTTAAAAAGTGGATTCTTCAGAAACTGGCAGCCGTCCAGAGAAATATTGTACATTAATTGGTGATTTTTTAACGCGCGTGTGAATATGTTAATAGAAAATGCTGGAGCCGGTTTCACAACGCGAAAAGTGTAAAGTAATTTATTACCGGGAACTTGGCGAAAGTATTCGACAAATTCGTGATCACTTCTGGTTTCGAATGACTCAACAACAACCTTCATTTTGCCTTCTACCAGCATCTATACAGAAAAAGAATATATGTTAGAATGAATGACAATGATGTAGTCTTTTCGTTACCTCCTGCTGAGTTGAAATTGCAAGTAGAATCCATGTTAGGCAAACCAGATTAGGACACATTATGAACTACAAACAATCAACCATCCAGTAACAGCCAATACTATGTGATCAAAAATGTTTGACAGCTACTACACTATATGAATTTGACAACAACATAATCATTATTAACGTATTTATAAACTCATAAATATTATTTGAAATTTGAATTGGCATTGACACTTGTAACCAAATGAGTTAGATAAAAACATTTTCAGCTACTATATGCAGTTGTCATTTGATCACACATCGCATCTTGATATTGCCTGGTTTTTTTTGGGGTTCGGTTTTCGTTTCAGATTGCCAGCTCGATTAGTTTCTCTCGATTTTTGGCACGTTTGCACAGGCGAGTGCCCCAAAGTGCCAAGGCAATGTAGTGCCACCTGACAATGTCTAATGATGATGGAGTAAGTGCAGCAACAACTACATAATCATAGCCATAACGTTAAGGCAGTCAAGGCACTGCCTGTGGTTGTCGTTGCTGTTGTTGATGTTGCTTTTGTTGGTTTTGCTTTTGTTGGTGTTGCTTTTGTTGGTGTTGCTTTTGTTGGTGTTGTTGATGTTGGCTACGTGCAGACACGCAGCCAGTCAACCAACCAGACAACCAACCAGCTGGCAAACAAACAAACTCACGCTTCTGAAGCCAACGAGTGTTGCAGTACTAAGTGGGCTGACTTTGGGGGGCGTGGCATTGGGTTGCTTGTGCTCTAACGTTTGTTATCGCATACAGGGAAAACTCAACGAGTCAATGACTTTCTGGTGTCGTTCGTTGATGCGCGACACGGCTTCGTTGTCATTAGTAACAACACTGACACGCACTCACTGACAGCCATACACAGCCACACACATACACACACACACACTACACACACACACACACACATGAATACGCACACAAATTCATTTGTTGGGCTGCTCTTGTAGTATGTTGCTCGTTGTGGGAAATATAAGCGGGTGCGGCAATAAATTTGGCAAACAAACACGTTTTGGCTTATGTTTTATTTTTGTTGGCGTTGTCGCTGCCGTTGCGGCTGATGTTTCGTTGTTGTCCTTGGCGTACCTAATGTGTGTCAACGACAGGCAGCATTGTTGTTGAGGCTTTCCTTTTTTTCGTAATTTTTTTCCTTTTTTTTTCATCCGATTGTGATGCGGACTCTGATTCTGATGCTTTTTACGCATTCACGCGCCGCAATTGGCCAGCAGAACGTGGAGAATATAAAAACAAATTATATGGCGCATGCTTTTAGCCTAAGTAATTATCATTTTTTGGCAACCAGCAACATTTGGCAGCTATTTGCTATGGTTTTTTCTCACTCACTACACATAATTTCCCTTGATGCTCATTAGCCTCATCCTGTGCTGAAGCAGGAAAAATTTATGCGCAGGCCGCATTGCCTTAAGTGTGAAATGGTTTGCGTAATTCCAAGTAAGTTATGCAAATATATTACGAGTTCATAAATGTGCCCGCACATGTCCAGATTTATGAAAAGCTTTATTTAAATTTCACGCAGTTGAGTTTTGGAAATTGATTTTGGTACTTGTTATAATTTATTAATATATTTTTGTATTGTATTTTCAGAAGACCTTAATTCACGACTGGCATCAAATGGGAGCATAAAAAGCATCCCAAATAATTGAAACATTAAAGGGGACGCTCACCCATTGAGCAAGGCCTTCGCCCAATATTTCTAGCTAACTGGCTGACCGCCCAGTGTAAACACTGTGCACAGCTGTTTGGATCCCCACCTGCCATCCTCGACTCCTGGTTCGCCTCGTTGTCGTGCCTAACCACAGACAACAATGTGTGGGGCGCATGCGTCGAGATTGGTGCACCGCCAAGCGAAAACACCACAGCAGAAGTCAGTAGCCGAGCGGTGTTCAAGTCAGTTGCTTTTCGAGGCTCGTAGGATACGCACGGCTCTGGCGGTTGATAAAATGCGGGAACTGATTGTGAAGTGAATACAGTAACTGATTGCTGTGCTGTGAGTGCGAGCGGTTCGAGTGCGAGTTCAAGTGCCAGTTGTTTCGCGTCTGTGGTGAATAGGCGCCGCCGAAGAGCACACTAAAGAGAGTACAGCATCACAGAATTGCAGAATCGAAGAGCTTGACAGCCTTGCTAACGGAGCAGGCATCGCAGTAAATCTAAATCCTTGCACGCGTACAGTTGCCTGGACGGAAGTGCTGTGCGAGAGTGTGTGGGCGCGTTTCTGCCCGGAGTGTGCCGTATATCAAATCAAATCCATAACAACTAAGTTTACAAATAATCAGATTTAGAGCTAGCAATTAATTACATCAAAAACTGTGCCAAACATATAAAATTGCAAGCAAGTGTCTTAAATGTAGTGCAACACAATTCAAATCAAAATTGCTCAATAAATCAGTGCATTAACCCAAAAGGCTACTTTCATCCACCTAACAATATCAAAACAAAACAAACAAAACTCCAATCAAGAAATCAAAACAGAAATCCGGAAAGCATGTGGATTAGTAGCCGCCTTTTTGTGATTTGTTTGCTGCTCAGGTTTGGTAGGTGCAACTTGTTTTCCTTACTCTCTGTCTCTCCCTCTCTCTCTCTCTCCCTCTTTCTCTCTGTTTCCATCTCTCGCGCGCTCTTTCTTTTAGAAAATATAATTCTTAAGCCTTGCTACCGGCACGCGCCGCAAAGTATGCTTAGATTTTGGTGTTGCGTTCATGTGCGAATGCATGGCTGTGTGTGAGAATATGTTTTGGTATTCCCATCAACAGCTGTCGGCATATTTCCTGCTTCACGCCCTCCAAAACTTATTATGCTAAAAGGCGCTAAAGCTCATAAGGATTTTAGGGGATTTTTCGAGTTTTATGATGAATAGTAAAACTCAGCAAACTTATAAGCTTGTCATGTGTGTTTTCGGTATTACAGATAGCCTTCTTTAGTGTAGCACACTTATTGGGAGACCCTTAAACACAAAATATTTATAAATACAACTTAGTTTCGAAAGCCATCAGAAAGCCTTCGCAAAGTCTTCAAAAGCATTAGGATATAGTTTCGTGTCACCTTGCTCTACCATTTTAGCAAAAACTTCGCTAAAAGAGTTTAAAAGCAGCCTACATAAATACATAACTGTATATATGAATACAAATGGTTTATGGGAGGTGTTAATATAATTTATAGCTATGCATTTGCTCTGCGAACTAAGTGCAAATGATTTGGTTGCTTGATGATACAGCCAAGGCCATAAAATAACGGTCATAACAACAAAAACTAAGCCAGCAAACGCTCAAAATACGTTTACATAATATGAAATAGCCTTATGATAAAAACCTAGGCGTCAATTTATGCCACAAATTGTGGGTGTATGTGTGTGTGTATGTGTATGTATGCGTGTATAACAGACTAATGAAATGTGTCAAAAACAGAGTCAGAGCACTCGATCGAACTGACAGGTCCATCGAACTCTTCACATAAAGAGACACACACAGACATACAAAAATGGGAAAGAGCCTTTTTGGAAATTTGATATTTTCCAATTTTCATTGCCTGGCTGGCTGTTTGCATTTTATGATGGCTATGGCAATAACAACTGACGCACATACTTTTTCCCCGGAAAAAATGACTAAAATGCCATACAGATATTTCATATTCCAGAAACACATATACATTGAATGTTTTCGCACCCAAGCTGAGGTTGAACCAAATGAAAAATATGCAAATGAAATTGTTGCTCAACGTCTAAAGGGCTCTCACATTTTTAACGTTGTTATTTCATTTTCATGCGGATAAAAATATACATAAAATATAATGTGCTGCATGAAATCAGCACCAAGAACAACAGAAATTCGATTAACCCAACACAATCTAGCCCCAACACAAGAAGCGGATTGCCCTCGCAGTTTTGACAACAAAATTATGAAATATTTTTGTTGGCTTCAGATTGTGCTGTTGCGCTCTTTGATTGATTGTGTTTTAAATCCTTTGTGACAAACGCTTTAATTTGTTATAGGATTAATGAAGTACGCCGCCAACTTCAAGCCAAATGTGCCCCTAGGCAGAGGTCAGAGAAAGCACAGCTGGCTGTGTAATCTTATATAAAAAAATGGGTCTAGCACAAATAAATAAAAATTTTAATCCCATCTGCTTTCCATTTATAGGTGATATTTCAAATGATTAAAATATAGAAACAGTGATTGAAATAAAATCTTATATTTGTTTTTAAATATTACTTAAGCTATTTTTAAGACACATGTGAACATTTAGACATACGTGTTGAAGTGTTTTTTATATATTATTTATTTCTAAAAAAAGTTTACCACAAATGAAAAAATTATTGTTAGAGCATATTAGCTTCGTTTCAACTCTTGTCTGCCATCAAACCTACTTTAATTGTGACTTATATATATATATATGTATGTATAAATATATATTTTTTTCAAAACAATTTGCGCAACAAACATTTTCATATCCCGTTGCCTTTTTTTGGGGTTCGGCTTTCTTGCCTTTTGGGTTTGCTCTTGGTGGGTCGGTTTGTGTGCACTTCTACTTTAAATGGGCTTGGGGCCAGAAGAAGAGCTTATTTTATTCTTTCGAGTTGGTCCAGCATAGGTATGGAAAAAATCAAGTTATTTGCAATTATTATTACTGTTTCCGCTTTTTTTTTTTTTTTATTGTTCTTGCGCAATGCGCGTTGGCTTGTGAAAGCTTTAAGTTCTTTTAACTTTTGGCCTAGACAATATTGACTCGGCATACGCATTTCTGTGAGTGTGTAGGCGTGTGTAAGTTTGCTTTCTTAACACAACAAAAAATTTAATTTTCTGTTTTCGGGTTGAGTGCGCATAAGACACGGCTCATCATTTCCGGCATGGCCCCATTTTATCTGAGCACTTCCGATGCCTCGAGATTCGTTTAAAATGTTTGCTGTTTAGCTTTAATGCGAATTGGAAACTTATATTGTGTTAGTTTTCGAGCCATCTGCTTATGTGGCTGTGAGCAATGTTAGCCGGCCTTTATGTCTTGGCCATTATAGATATTACGTCTGTAGCATCATAAATACATGCTCACGTGCGAAGTCAGACAACGGCACTTAAAACACTCACTCTTCCAAAGCCAAAGAAATAATTCAAAAAAATGCCAAAAGGGCATAATCCAAAAAACGTCTGAGACGCCTTGCAAAGCAACCCCGCAATTCGCAAGTGGATGAGAAACACACATTCCAAATGAAAGCCAGTAGAAATCTGCTACAGAAAACGAGCGGAAATGCGAAGCAAAGCGTTGGCGGAGGAGGAAGGCAGCAATCGCGTCTGCATTTGCTGACTGTGCTGCTGAGGGAGTGCAACGAACTGGAGGGCAGTTTGACAGCCGGTTTAACTGGCAACAGTTTTGAAGCTTCTTGATATGCACCTGATTTTTAGGACTGACTTAGAAAAATGAATTTTTGCCCAGCAATCATAATGTCGTTTAAATAAGTGAATAATTATTTAGAGATTATTTTGAAAAGTTCACTTCTTAACGTATACATAAGTCAATATTAAAGCCGAAGTAAAACTAAAGCCGACTCTTTGTGGGCCACAGCAACTCCCAAATGTCCAGAAATGCTTTATGTTTTAGGGATGAAGTCCGCATAACTGAAAATGTTGCGCAGCTGAAAAAAGATATTCGCGTGAATGTTGAATTCATCAGTTGAGCCGCAGGCATAAGCCCAAGTCGAGGTGCTGAAAGCACAAGATGATGATGAGGATGGAAAAGTAGAAGATATGAAGCCGAGACAAAAACATAACCAGGAACAACGGAACATACGCACAGTAGCGCTCAGAGCGTAGACTTTTTGTTTTCACAGGAAAGAATAAAAAACCTACAAGTGGATGTGCACACACATACACACACACGCACACACACGGGCATAAATACACCCACACACACATGTGAGTGCGCTTTGAGGCACATGCTCGTAAAACATACCCTTTCTGCCCGAAAAAAATGAACCGAGTGCCAAGCGTACTCAAGACATACTTGCAATAATTTTATGGCCAGGCAGAGGCCTCATCCTGCCCACCGCCCCGAACAGCGGGAGCCATGAAATCAGCGGGGAAAAGCGACTTGAAACAGGCACGGGCAGGGACCAGAGAACAGAGAACAGAGACCAGAGACGAACAGAAAAACGAAACCAGAAAGAAGTAACATAAAAATCCATGATGCCAAGCATAAAACAAAAAGCGCCTGGCCAGGCACAAAAACAACAACAGAAGCAACAACAACAAAATATGTACAAAAGTAAAAAGAACAAAAACAACTCTAATTGCAGACACAATGAGTTGACGGTGCGGGGAAACCAGAGCGAGCGGGGAACGCTTTGGCGAAGTACGAGGTTCCTAGCTAGTACCAGGCTTGAACGAGTTGCAAGGATTTGCACAGCGCCGCAGGGACAGCCGCTTGGGTGGCACAGACAGCCCAAGCGCATTCATGTGGAATTTGAAGCGAAATGTCAATTTGAGAAATATATACCTACATATATATGTATACAATCATATATACATATATATAAATATGTATATATATATCTGTATATATAATATATATATGCACTAGTACGAGTCTGTGTGTCCATGTATAAAAAAGAAATCCAAGCCGAAGAGAAAAATGTTATTCTAATTTAAGATAAGGCAAAATCTGTTTGCAAAGCGGGACGAAAGTACAAAAGCACATTGAAATGGGCTTAAATGCAAATCTTTGCAGATGAAATATATGAAATTTAAGTGCTTATTAAAGTACTACAGCCTAAAAAAAACAAAAGCGCATTTCGGAAAATAAATGACGAATATACATATTGAAATACCATTTCATATGTGCTCTCTTTAATTTTTGGACTACTATGAATTTCCAATTGTATTCATTCTCGTTTCATATCAATTTGGAAATATTTTCTTGATTTGCTAAGAAATGCGAATATTTATTTCTTTATTTGGATTAATATAATTATTTGATACACTGCAACTTCTATAGCTATGTATTTTTTTCCGTTTCAGATGCAACCATTAGTGAACCCTTCGAAACACATTTGCGTGGTCCCGGCTTTGTCATGGAGCCGCCGGGTCGCGTTGAATTCTCCAATTCCTCCGGCGGCTGGCTGGATTGCTCTGCCTCTGGTAGTCCTCAGCCAACGATCGATTGGGTGCACGCGGATGGCACGGCGGTTACGGAAATTCATGGTGTGCGTCGCGTGCTCCGCAATGGCACACTTGTCCTGATGCCCTTCGCGGCGGCTGCCTATCATCAGGATATCCACAATACGATCTATCGCTGCATTGCCAGCAACTCTGTGGGTCGCATTGTGTCGCGCGATGTGCAAGTAAGGGCGGGTAAGTGTTTGCCGGCTGGCCATAAAGCATAATATATTGTATTTTTGTATATTTGTATATTTTTGTATTTTCATCTATTTTTTTTTGTGACAGTCGTGGCACAGGCCTACAAAGTGGATGTGGAGGTATTATCTGCCTCGCGCGGTTGCACCGCCATTTTGCGTTGTGTGGTGCCCACGTTTGTCAAGGAATTGGTACGAGTGGTCTCGTGGGTTCATGAACCCGCTATCTACATCTATCCCTCGCTGCAAGGCGGTAAGTAACTGTGGTACCGGGCGCGGTGTATGCTTACTTGCATTACAACGTCTATCTGTCTTACTGTCTGCATGTCTGCTGCTGACGTGGCAGTAGTAGCAGCAGCAGCAGCAGCAGCAGGAGCTCCAACTGGAGTCGCAGCCTCGGCACTCGACTGCATCCTTGTCCCTGTAGCGGCTTACCAAGCCAACAAAGTGCATTGTTTGTTTGCAGTATTTGCCTCACATGTTTGCCTGTTTAACTGCCATATATATACATTTATGTATATATATATAAATGTGCATGTGTGGGTGTATGTATATGAGTGTGTGTGTGTGTGTGTGCTGCCCTGTGCTTTGATGCATAATTAACATTGTCCTTTGGCAATTTGAGAAGCGCTTATATTTCGCCTTAACCCTGCTGCCAACTAAGCTCCACTGATAAGTAGAAAAGCCTTTGGCAAGCGCTTCAAGGTGAATTATGTCTTAAAGATTTATTAATGCTGCATTTTAATAGGCATTTATTGTGAATGTATATTTAAGTCCAGAGCTAAAGTTATTTAACTACTTTTTTCTTGTAGGTTTTCATATTTTCATAAATATTAATATCAGGCCACACTTGAAATAAACTCGATTTTATTTGTAAAATATGAATATTTACCTCTTTAATGCTTTAATGCCTGCTTATGATAAGAAATTGTGTTCCAAATATTAACTAAATTGTAGAGTTCGTCTTCCCGAAGGAAATTACTGCACATCCACGAAAAAATGTTTAATGATGGATAACTTTGGAATAACTATCTGCTTTCATCCTTCACAGATGGCAAATTCCATTTACTGCCAACTGGTGAGCTGCTCATTCACAATCTGCAGGAGAGCGATGAGTCTCAATCCTTCCGATGTCGCAGCATGCATCGCCTGACCCGCCAGGTTGTTGTCAGCTCGCCAACACGATTGCGTATTAACTGTGAGTGACCCAATCACATAAACTGACTGCTAAGACACACATTCACATCCCCACACACGAAATTACACACACTCACACAGCAACACTAACCAATGTCAATCTCTACTCATACAGCACATCGCGGCATCATATCGCCGAGCGTTGTGGAGCACACATCTCATGTGCAGGTCTCCCAGGATGAGGGCGCGGTGCTGTTGTGCGTGGCGCAGGGTTGCCCTTCGCCCGAATACAGGTGGGTACGGTGCACGATGTAGCGTGTAAGTGCGGGGTGCAGGAAGTAAAATCGATTGCACTCCCAGCCACATAGACACATAACAGGTGAAACTTTTGACGTTGACAGTACTGCGTTCGTCGCTGCCATTGTGTGAGTTAATTGGAACATACACATATACACATCTACACACATACACACATGCATATATACTTACATGTCATATTTGCGAGCGTTTAGGGTTGCCAAGCCTCTAAATAGTATACAGCAGGTGTTGCTTGTTCATTAATTGTGTGAAGTGTATCGGGACAGTTACTAAGTATGGACCACTAACTAAAATATGAAATTAGTTCGTTGCCTAACTTAAAGTTCGTCTATTAAGTCTCTCCTACATGATTTGCTAATGTCGATAGCGGTGCGTATGTGTAATGTGTGTGTTTGTATTGTGTGCGGGCATTAAAGACAATGGCATAGGTAATGATGTGTGTAGTCGTTAAGCTGTCATGGAGGTAGCCTTTTGGTAGATGTAGCACATGTGTGTACACATAATTAAGCTTTGATAAGCAAACAAGTAATAAAAAACTTTTGCAGTGTAGCGGGATGAGTTGTGAAGGTAGCGGGTACAGATATCAGAGATACAATGCCAGACTGTAAACGCGAAACAAAAGAATCTCTGAGGGAAGCCAGACAACTGCCATATAGATGGATAGAGCAGCTGAGCAGCGAGTATAAAAAAAGCTGTTGCCATTTCATAATTAATAAAGCTGAGAGTCTGTCTGGCAGACAGTGGACGGAGACATTGGCAAATGAGCCAACCGTGAGGATTAATGCAGCATTGAACAAAGCGAGCGAAGGTGGTAGGAGTGGGCTAGATGTGCAAATGGGCTCTGTATTAAACTAAAATAGTTAGACCTTGAACTGGTTTTTGCTATGAACATATTTTATATCTTTCAAATTATTCAAAATGAAAGAAAACATTTATCTCTTAACTGGAAATTAGAATGACCATAGTTATAGAACTGCAATTATTATATTGACTGTTATTGAGACAATCTATTTTCTTCCGAGTTTTATTATCGTTCTACTACCTACGAGAAAGGCACGAATGGGGATATTTATAAAATATGCAACCAAATATCTGCATTCCCAATCGTATGTCTAAATTAACAAAATACAATATACTTTTTATAGCTGGTACACTCAGAATGGTGGTGGCCCGTTGCCCGTTCTAAGCGGACCACGGGTGCGACTCCTTGGTCCGATACTGGCTATTGAGGCTGTGACTGGCGAAGATTCCGGCGTCTACAAGTGTACAGCCAGCAATGTGGGTGGTGAGGCCAGTGCCGAATTGCGACTCACGGTGGCCACACCCATCCAGGTGGAAATCTCGCCAAATGTGCTCAGCGTGCATATGGGCGGCACAGCCGAGTTTCGATGTCTAGTGACCAGCAATGGTAGCCCCGTGGGCATGCAGAATATCCTGTGGTACAAGGACGGTCGGCAACTGCCCTCATCCGGCCGCATCGAGGATACGTTGGTGGTGCCGCGCGTGAGCCGTGAGAATCGCGGCATGTATCAGTGTGTGGTGCGGCGGCCCGAGGGTGATACATTTCAGGCCACTGCAGAGCTTCAGCTTGGCGGTAAGTAGGATTGACCAAAAAAAAAAAGTATAAAAAAAATAGAAAATAGAGGATACGCCAAGTAATTGCAGCTAAAATATTTATATGTACATCCGCAACCATTTTGTCCTTTCAGATGCTCCACCCGTGCTTCTATATAGCTTCATTGAGCAAACGCTGCAGCCTGGACCAGCTGTGAGTCTGAAATGCTCCGCAGCTGGCAATCCAACTCCTCAAATTTCATGGACATTGGACGGATTTCCGTTGCCATCAAACGGAAGGTAATTGAACTTGTTGAAAACGGGCTCTGCATGCGCAGTTAGCGGTGCAGTGCGGCATAATGTAGGGTGTGGGGCCTATGCAGGCAATGGCAACACTGCGGGCGGCACTATATAAAAAAAAAAAACATTGCGACGGAGACTGCATTTATTGCGCTCGTTGTGTATATTTTTTTCCTTCCTTTTTTTTTTTGCATTTGGCTTTCAAAACATTGCACGTATAGAAAGTGGCTGCCGACTGGAGCGCCTACCGAGTGGGCGGCTCGGCGCCGGCTTCAGCGTTCATTCACTCTCCTCAGGGGTAGGCGCTGTCACAGTCACAGTCACAGCCGCAGGCATATTCTAAAGACTTGGTGTCTGGCCAAGGTTCTGACTTTGCCTTTCTATTTGTTAATTAAGACTTGGCTACCATTTGTTTGCCTTACGCATTTAATTACATCTTTAGCGTGGCCATCAGAGGCAACTGGCAACAGGCAACTGTAAAGAGGCAACTGCTTATTAAATTCTTGGTGGCACTTTAATGACATTGACATTTGCATTTGACAGTCAAGCTCTGCAACTAGCTGACTTGTTTGGCACAAACAAATAAAATGCAACAGCAGATCGATTGATTGGCAACCTTAGTTGGTCTACTCCCTTTCGCTCTCCACACTCTGTCTACTGCTGACGATGGCTTTGGCTTTGATGATGCTGCTTTCACATTGTCGTTGGCATTTCATTTGATTTTTACTGCTTTTCATTCTCGGTTTTTTCTCACTCGCCCCTCGGTCTGTACTTCATTTGCAGTTTGTTGGCAGCTGCCACTAATTGTTTGAGTTACGTCTGTAATGATTTGCAAGTCAAAGTTGGTCCGTTGACTGTTGACTTCTGTTGTTGATTAAAAAATAGCTCTAGTTCTTTTTATTAACATTGACGTTAGCTGTCATTTAGTTTGCTCTGTTTGCAGACCAATAAAAAATCTTGACAGAGTTTTTAGCAACTGACTTCATTTTATTGTTCGTCTCTAGTGTTGCAGCTGTTTAGATTTTCTGCTGTATTTTAATTAAAACGTATGCAATATGCTGACCAGAGGGCAAATTGGTGAATAAATAAATAAATATAGTCCACTATAACATACCCTGTAACTTAGATAGATCGCATATACAATGTTGTCTTATCAAATAAATATTTATTTTGCATTTGACAAGAGCTCCTGCTTCAGCTAAATGTGTATAAAATGCAGCACAAAGAATTTAAATTGGATAAGTGAACAGTACAGAGATGTTAAGGTGGTCATAAGATCGTCGTGAATTTATTTTAGCCAAGTGGTTGTCCCGCTTTTTCTTGTGCTTTGTTTGAATATGCTTCAACAGTTTTGAGAAAAGTTTGGCTGACCACAAGGCGCAAATTGATTGCAAGTGTTTTCGTGTGGCATGTGCCAGAATTTTGTCAAAACTTGCAGATATTTACCCTAATCGCCGGTGGCTTTAATTTAAAAGTTATTTGAGCAACACAATTTTGACACATAATGCCGTTAGGCACTATCCTGTCGCACAGGAGGAGTGAGCGGAGTTGGCAACCTAATTTTGCTTGTACTCCGCATTGCTGCATAAATTTCGTTGCTAACGTTGCTTGTTGTTATTGCCGAGTTTTAAGTGGTTTACATTATTCGGTTTAAAGGTAAATCAACTTGGTAACTGTATTTATTTAATACACGCGCAGACAGCCACCCAGACATGCAGACAGCCGGGTAAACAGGCTGACAGACAGACAGACAGACAGACCGACAGACTGGCAAGCAGCCAGGCAGGCAGGCAGACAGGCAGTCGGGCAATATTGAGGCTCAGCGAGGAACTGGAGCTGGAGCAGATGCCTTGGGGCGGAAATTAAATGATTGCGCGCACGAGGTAACGCAACACTCAAACGCTCATTTTACGCCATTTGGAAAAGTTTGTCTGCGGCATGTGGGAAGTGGCAAGTGGCAAATGGCAACATCGCAGGCGGAGCCACTTGCTCAGGGTGCCTGCCTTGCTATTCACACGTGTGTGCCTCATGCGTTTGTCTACAACTGCAGGCGTTCTGCAAGAAGTGTGTTTAAGTTTAGATTAAATAATTCAGCGTTAAGTGTGGCCCAAATGGAAAGTTGTACGAAAACTACAGCATGCATTTTAATATTTAGGATAGGATTTATTCTGATCTTATCAGTTAACTTAATTGAAACGATACGAGATGTGAGCTTATTTGGTTTTATATATAATATTTAGATCTCAATTCGCATAGCCAAGCTGAAATTCTATTCATACAAATTGAAATGAAATTAGTTTCTCGACAATGTTTTCATGTATTCACAGAATTTAAGTTTTAGCCAAATCATTTTTAGTCCAAATTAAGGCACCAACCACCAACCACCAGCCCACATACGCAGTCTTGCACAACAATCACCTAAAACAGCACACAAAAGCCGCGCCAACTATTAGGTTTATATTGTTGCAACCAAAGCGTTTTATGCCACAGGCAACCCTTTGCCCTTTGCCCCCTGGCCCGATTTGTAGAATTCTCCACACACCCACAAATACTCGCGTTGAAAGTTTTGCAATGGTGTTTAAGCTGTAAGCCACTGCATAGTACGATGATGCGGTAGAACTCTCGTCCTGCCATGTGAGGATGTGTGGAACTTTATTGCAATTTTGTCCCAGCATTGTTTCAATGCGCTCAAGTGTTGCAGTTAGCATCCATGTCCATGGCTGAGTATTTGTACATGTTTATATACACACATATACATATGGGTTGAGCAGCTTCATTTTCATTTAACTGCAGTTGTTGTTCTTAACAAGCGTCGCTCAGCTTATGGGGCACTTCATAAAGTTCCAACCGCCAGTCGCCATTTCTTTTTTTGGTTGACTTGGCCACTTTCTGGGCAAATCAGCGTCCAGGAAACTGCACTCACACGCAGTGTACGTCAAACTAATGCATTCATAAGCCTCACCAAGGCAGCTACAAAACTTAATTAGAATCGTAATTACTTGCCGGCTGTAACTCTAATGCCAATTGAAATGTTGCGAGTGCCTCGCCCACAAACTAATGAGCCGGTTGCTGAGATGCCCCGTTTAACAATGAGACGCCGCAAAGCCGCTTGTGTGTTGTCACAATGGGCTCCATATATAAACATACATACAAACGTGTGGGTGTTTTGTGCCACATGGCGTATGCGTAACATTGTTTGCTGTAATTAATGTCTATGCCAATAAGACGCTAAACAGACGGCAGGCAAACAAACCGACTTAATGTCAGTTTGAGCGCTCATAAAATCCTTTTTTCATTATTTCCCAAGCATGGTATGTTAAAGAGAAGCGGCCGCATTAAGTGGAACTCGTATTTGATGGCGCTTTCGCTGCTGCTTATGGGCGTGGCACATGACATTGAAAGCTGTGGTGAAACTATGCTAAGCTTGGCAGCTCGACAGAACGACAGAACGACAGCTTGACAGACAAACAGCCTTCATTACTGCTAAATAATGCAATGTTACTTATGAGCCGTGTTATGTCGAAAACAAATGAAGCCCACAGCCAAAGGATTTGGGTCATGCTGCATATGAGATGCGCCTTGTTGAGTACAAGTACACGAATGTACATGCACAAATACATATATGCATATGTAGTTGCATGTAGTTGCTCGTTAATGCCCCTGGCCTGAGCGTTTAAATATGCAACAAAAAAAAAACAAAAAAACAAGCAGTTCTAAAATGCATATCGCAATGCGCATACGACGCGTCTGCCATACAAATACATTCTATATTAATGTGTGGTTTATGGTATTTTGATGTATTTCTTTTCTCTCTTTACAGATTTATGATCGGACAATACATCACCGTGCATGGAGATGTAATTAGTCATGTTAACATAAGCCACGTCATGGTCGAGGATGGCGGTGAATATTCCTGCATAGCCGAGAATCGTGCGGGTCGTGTGGAGCATGCGGCCCGCTTGAATATTTATGGTATGTGCCACATTCGCAAAACACACACAACTACAGCATATTTTTACCCATGTGTATGCGTGTGTGTGTGTATGTGTGTGTGTGTGTGTGTGTGTGTGTGTTCTTGTGTGTATGTAGACAGCTACTTTACACATGCACTTAAACGTTTTTCAGTTCTCTGAGTTTTATTTTATGTTTTTGTTTTTTTGTTTTTTTTTTGGCTATTTTGCGTTGCCTACTTCTGCTCGATTTTGCTTTACAACGTTTTCTTTTCTATGTTTTGACTGCTTCGTCCTCTTTTTCTCTCCTTGTCTATCTTTGTCTTTGACTGCAGTTTGCTTTGCAGCTCTAAAGTGTTGTTCAAGGCACAAGCACAAGCACACACACACACACATCCACACGTACGGTGGTAGCTGCGGGGCTTTGTGAACCTCTTCTACCTTTTTTTTTTTCAAGAAATCAAATATTTTTGTGTCGCCGGGCAAACAAAATGGCGTTGCCAGGCGCAGTGTAACACAAACAAAACGACAGCAGTGGCAAAATAAAGGACTGCTCCATGTTTGCTCCCAACGTTTGCGCTGAAAGTTAAAATAAACAGAAAAGCACACCAGCTCGTAACTACACTTTAGAAAATTAGTATCGTTTGATAAATGATATCACATTTAATGTTAGATTGGCAAATACTTAGTTGATGAACTATAAGTATCTTGTTTTTCTAGCAACATTTTTATCGTGTGCAAAATAATGAATATTTGTTAGAGTATTAGACAATAGTAATGTCGATGTTATACACTGGCATTCTTTTTAGATAAGTACTGTTGATTTGCAAGACCAAATCATATTTATTTCGACTGCTGCTGAAGCTTAAAAAAGTGCAGTGTCGTTGGTTTCGTTTAAAGCTATGCATTGTCGCTGATTACGCGACTTTGTGATAGCTGTGATTACAAAAATCTCACTCCACCCAGACAGCGACACCAAAGCTCTCACGTATGACATGCTCAAATTATGCATATTCCGCAGAAATTCACAAAACCAAGCACAACATCAACAACAACAGCAACAACAGCAACAACAACAACAATATCAACAACAACGATAACTGAGAAGACTGTGCACGTTGGTGTTGCCGAGCAGCATTTGCTGCATTATTTCCTTCCGCATTTTGGAGAGGCACAACGAAAAGTGTTTCGGCGGCATTGCACAGACTCTCGGGTTCTGTCGACTGTCAGGATATGCATATTACATTGTGCGCTGTTTCCTGCCCGGCTTGGCAGGCTCTGTGTGTGTTTGTTCTTGTGCTTGTTGTTTGCCTTACATTTTGGCTGCATTATTAAATAAGCAGGGTGTGCACACATCTTTTAAGCATATACATTGGCCAACCGTTTGCTTGAACTCCTGCAGGTCTGCCCTATATACGCCTCATACCGAAGGTGACCGCCGTCTCTGGTGAGACATTGAATCTGAAATGCCCAGTGGCCGGCTATCCCATCGAGGAGATACATTGGGAGCGCGGCGGACGCGAGCTGCCAGATGATATACGACAGCGTGTGCAGCCGGATGGCTCTCTAACCATCAGTCCGGTGCAGAAGCATACGGATTCCGGTGTCTACACGTGCTGGGCTCGTAACAAACAGGGTCATAGCGCCAGACGCAGTGGCGAGGTGACGGTCATAGGTTAGTATATATTTGTAGAGTGCCAACTGTCGGCCATTTGGCCAGTTTCCTTCACAGCTTTGACGACGGCAAGGGACACTTACAAGCAACAATAAAACAACAGCAACGAATGATGCCAAGTGAAAATTACATTTTAATTATTAACAGCAAACTAAGTAGATCGTATGGCTCTTTAAGTTTTTCCTTTTGCTTTTGCTTTTAATTTAGCTGTGTACTCTGCATTTGCTTATCCTGTAATTAAATATGCGCAATAATCTAAGCTTAAAAGTTTGTAAATTAAAAATACAAACCAAAGTGGAAAGGAGTCCGCGTCAGCAAAGGCAGCCAGCGACCTTTTTTTGTTTTATTATTTCATTTCACTTAATGAATTCGCGTGCTAATGAAGCGCGACGTTGATTAAATTTTCATAATTTGTAACCCTTTTTTTGGGGTTTTTTTTTCATCGTTGCGCATTAGCAAAGCGGTGAAGTGGGCCACAATAATTTTCTTGTTATTCCTCTGATTGTTGGCTCAGCACAGGCTGTTCGTTCGGTTTTCTTATTTATGTTTGCCTTGACAAAACCACTTGCAGTGCCACCGCGTCTGAGTCCTTTTCAAACATCCATACTACAACTGAACATGGGCGATCGCGCCTCACTCACCTGCTCCGTGGTCAAGGGTGACCTGCCGTTGACCATCAATTGGCGCAAGGACGGTCGCCCCATCGATCCCACGCAGCACATGTCCGTCAAACAGGTGGATCAGTATAATAAAATTCTGGTCATTGACAATCTGGGCAGCGATCACACGGGTAACTATTCGTGTGTGGTGCGAAACTCGGCGGCGGAGGTGGAGAACTCACAAGCGCTCTTGGTTAATGGTAAAGAAATGAGTTGTAAATACTCGTTTATACCGCATATCTTATATCATATACAATATAAATATCCTCTTTAGTTTAAAGTAGTTGCGTTTTTTCGTATGCACCATGTTCAATGTAATCAACAAAAAAAACAAAAAACAAACAAAATATATCACTATCAAATCGTCAAACGAAATTTCACTTGTCCTGCAAATATCCATGTATACCTGTTAAATATGTTGAGAAAACCGATATTTAGTTAATCCATATAGTTAATGAATATATCATATAATTTTCTAAATCACTTTCACTTCAACTTTTGGAATGTTTGTACAATTAAGTAAAATACTATTTCGTAGAGTTTAACAGTCTTTTAACAAAACTGCGAAGGTTTAGTTGTACATATATGTATGTATGTATGTATGTGAAAGCTAATTCAATTAGGAAACAAACAGCAATCCGCAAACAGCAGCTCGGCGTGGGAAGAACATCATCAAAATCAACATCAACGATAACAACGACAACGACAACGGTTACAAGCTGCAAGGCTGCAAGCTGCTGGCTGTTGCAATTACAGTTCTTAACGTTTCTGGTTGCTCTTTCCTATTTACAGTACCGCCGATCATAGAACCGTTCGCCTTTCAGGATGGCCTGGCCGAGGGTATGCGCACGCGCACCGTTTGTGGTGTTTCCCGCGGCGATGCTCCATTGAAGCTGATCTGGCTCAAGGATGGTGAGCCGCTGCCCGATCTGCTGGGTGCCAATGTCACCATGCTAGATCAGTATAGCTCGCTGTTGAGCATTCCCTCGCTATCGGCCACGCATTCCGGGGAATATACGTGCGTGGCCAAGAATCCGGCCGCTGAGATCAAGTATACCGCTCTGTTGCAGGTCAAAGGTAGCGTACTAGGTTACAATCCAGCAATTTCACACAAAAACACAAAAACCCAAAACAAATCTAAACTCATACATATATGTATTACCAATTCACACCAAACACAGACTTTACTAAACTGATTGCCCCTCAAAAATAATTTTTGCTTTCTCGCTGATGTATTCAAGAAAAGCGCTTCTTAATGGTTTTGAGTTTTTAATTTTTTCGTTTTATTTCGGAGAAATAAACTTTTTGATGCTTGTAATGTGTCCTACAAGCGAAACCGTAACTGAACGTTGCCCCACTCTTGCTTTTAGCAAATGGTGCTTTCTTTGTTGTTTTCACTCTGCGAAAGCACAAAACAAAATGAAAACTAAAACTTATAACAAAGCCATAATTAAATCAATTGCCCTGCTTTTAAAACCCATGAACTTATTTATACGAATCCTTATACCCTTAAGTCGCTTTGGCACGCTGTGGGTTTTTTTGACAACAGTTTCACCAGGTAAACTTATAAACTGCACTGCTTCTTTATCGCTTTTTAACCAAAACCTCAACAATCGTACACATAATTAAGAATCTACATCATTATAAAAAGAAAAATAATATATATACATATATGAATATTTTAATAATTTGCTGATCTAATTTTAGCCGCTTTATACTTGAAAACTGACTACAAAAACTATGGCTGGCCGTAGTTGAAATGCGCTTTTCGCAAGTTTAAACCGATTACAAAATTGAAAAAAAAAGCGATTTGATACAAAAACGCATCGCTTAAGCTGCAACTCACAATTTTGACAAATTCAAGAGTCAAATAAGCTTAAGAATTTCAAACTCGGAAAAGCGCACAGAATTCCCAATTAGCTGTAATTATAATTTATATAAAGTCTCATCCATTAATTAAAGAACATAAGCTGACTTAAGATTAATTTGCTTTTCGCTTACTCCTTTTGTTGCTATCTCAACGGTTGTGTATAATATACAATGCATAAATATTTTTGTTCCCTTTTTTGTTACTGCCATTTTTTGACTTGCAGCTTCAAAACTTAGCGCACAACGGCTGCTGTTTGCCCACTCCCCTCCAAAAAAAATCGCTATCTACGTATAAAAATAAAAAATAAAACTAAATGGCCAAGCCTTAGCTATAAATGTGATGTGCTAATTAACAATAATAAACTAAATAAAAGAAAAAGAAGAAAGAGCTATAAATCCACTGAAGACGCGCTGCTTATGCTTCAATTTGGTTTTGGGCTTTAGTTAATTGCTTACACTATGCTATGCTCTGTACAAAACTATGTGTGTGTGTGAGTGTGTGTGTGTGTGTGTGTGAGGCGATTTCTCTACCCCTGCTTGTGTGTGAGTTTGGTCATTTTTGTGCAGCTGACAAAATGCATAAGCGTATTTTTTTGCAGAGCCAAAATGAGAAACGAAAGCAAATTACAAAAAAAAAAGAAATATAAATATAAATTTAAAGCTTCGCAGTATTTGCTAATGTAGCTGAGAATGAATGTTTCATAGTTATGGCATGTTGTGGCAGCAGCAGAATATGCTGCACGTTTGTTTCGTTCGCTTTTGATTTAGCATGCAACTCAACAGTAACTGTACATAAATTGCCTCCTCTTTTTTTTTGTGCCAGCTGCCACCCGCATGCGCATTGTGCTAGTAAAATGAATTTTAATTTAATTTATTTATGATTTGCTTGCTCTTTGCTCTGTTTTTTTTTTTTTTTTTAGCGCAAATGTTTGTAAAATTGTTTTTACCAAAATTTCGCCAGGATCAAAGCTCAATTTACCGTACCATCGTTCAAATAAATAATAAATGCTCAGTTTAGATATTTATTTATTCATTATACTTATATGTATGGCGAAACGAGATAAAAACCTTTTTTTCGAACACATGTGTGCATTAATTTAATTTAATTAATTTTTAATACCCCATTACCCAGGCTGCTGTTGTGTGCAAAGATTTTTTTCCAACTAGTCGCTATTAACCAACGCGCTGTCGTATATCCAAACCTGCTTTATAAATAACATAAGAGAAGCAATCCATATAAAACCGCTAAATGCTTTTTAATTAATGCCGTTCATTTTCAATTTTTATACATAAACATAAAACATTTTTTTTTTTTTTTATTATTGCCTGACAAACAAAAGGCGGCATATTTATGGAATGGCCAAGTAAATAATTATTGGCCCCATAAATTATTGAAATCCAATTTTGCGCTGCAATGCTTTCTGCTCGGGGCGTGGCACAGACATTTTTAAACTAATTGTTTAAAGCCTGTTTGGGATTTGTTTTTGTATAATACATATCGTTTATTTTCAGCTGCGTTCATAACAATAAAACTCATATAATCATAATACATACGAAACAATTATGCATTTAAGTTGCAATTTAATTTTAGTGCAAATATTTTTAATTCGCCTTGGCATGCCTTTGTATTTTAATTTATGCGCCGACGAGAGGCAATTTAAATAAATTTGTTGAACAACAAATACCAAAAAAACAGCGAGGCGCAGAGCGTGGGCAGAAATTTAACAACAACTGAAAACAAGAAGAAAAATTCTATAATAAAAAGTAATTTAAATATGCCTGTAAAAATCCTTGCACAACAACCGCCAACTTTAATCAATTTTCCCCACGGATTTTATGAAAAATCAAAATCCGTTCTAAAAGCATCAATTTTTGAACTTTTTTTTTTCGATTTTGACTAAGTTGCATAAATACTTTTTGTTGAATTTTTAAGCAAAAAGCAAAACAACATATTACCAAAAAAGATATAAAATTCCAAACTGTATATTAGTTGAACTTTTTCTATATGCTACAAACCTTTCTATTACTCTCAACAAAAATTCCTATCTGTCTCTCTCTATCTCTCTCTCTCTCTCTCTATATATATCTCTTGCTATTTTGTTCTCTATACATTATAACCTTTCAGTATGTCTTAGAGACTTTTTATTTCAATCATTTGTTAATAGATATTTTCACTTATCCGATTGCAATCTGACCATTTTCCATGTTACATATACGTCCCACAGTTCCGCCACGTTGGATTGTGGAACCTGCCGACGCGAATGTGGAGCGCAACCGTCACATAATGTTGCATTGTCAGGCGCAGGGAGTGCCCACGCCCAGCATTGTATGGAAAAAGGCTACAGGTTAGATATACTAAAGAAAATTTCAAATTTCAGCAATTATATCCCTTCTTTTTTTTTCTTAATTCCTTTGTTTTGCTTCCCTTAACAGGCAGTAAATCTGGCGAGTACGAAGAGGTTCGGGAACGTCCCTTCACAAAGTTGCTTGGGAATGGCTCGATGTTGCTGCAGCATGTGAAGGAGGATCGTGAGGGGTTCTATTTGTGTCAGGCGAACAATGGCATTGGCACGGGCATAGGAAAGGTCATACAGCTGAAAGTGAACTGTAAGTATCGTAAGGCGATTGGGGATGGGATGCCAAATGGAACGTGGCAATTTGGTTAATTGCAGCGCTATCACCTAGCGGGATTGCAATTGTGTTGCCTCTATAGATGCTGATGCTGCTGTTGCTGATGATGCTGCTGCTGCTGGCATAATTAAAATGTGAATTATTGTAATGTTTTGCAGCCTCGCCATACTTCTCATCCACGTCGCGCTCAGTAACCGTTAAAAAGGGCGACACAGCGCTGCTGCAGTGCGCCGTCAGCGGCGACAAGCCGATTAATATTGTGTGGATGCGTTCGGGCAAGAATACACTGAATCCGTCGACCAATTACAAGTGAGTGCACTGAATCGAAACTAATGCAATGACTTTGCCAATCCCAATCTCAATCCCCATCAGAATATCTGTTAAGCAGGAGGCCACCCCAGATGGCGTTTCAGCGGAGCTGCAGATACGCACAGTGGATGCCAGCGACAGTGGTCCCTATTTTTGTCGTGCCAGCAATCTTTATGGCAATGATCAGCAGCTGGTGCAGCTGCAAGTGCAAGAGCCGCCACAGCCACCCAGTGTTTTGGAGGCGACCATGATAAGCAGTCGCTCGGTGAACCTTAAGTGGCAACCTAAGGCTCTCAGCACAGGCGATGTGTCCAAGTACATTGTGGAATATCGCGAGGCAGATCGTAAGTCGAGTGTTGGCAAACTGACAAACAGACATTATGTTCGGGCTTTACTCAATCTCGTTTCAGCCGTTCTCTTTATCGATCAGTGGCAGCACTTGGAAGTCAAAGATCCGCCCAGCTTTAATGCGCTGATTGAGAATCTGAAGCCAGCGACGCGCTATGCTTTCAGAGTAATAGCCGAAGGCAATGCAGGACGCAGTGCACCAAGTCAGGAGCTGATTGTGCGCACGGAACCACAACGACCCGCTGGACCACCTTTGAATCTTTCTGCACGTCCACTCTCATCCACGGAGCTGCTGATCAGTTGGGTGGCGCCGCTGCCAGAGCTGCGACATGGCGATATACAGGGCTACAATGTGGGCTATAAGCTGGCCAGTTCAAGCAACACTGCCTACAATTTCACCTCCGTTTCGGGCGATGGCGAGGGCGGCAATGGGGAGTTGTTGCTCAGCGGACTCTCCAAGTTTGCGCGCTACAATATTGTGGTGCAGGCCTTCAATCAAGTGGGCCCCGGTCCGCTCTCAGAGCCAACAGCAGCGCAGACCATGGAGGATGGTTAGCAAATGAGTCTCTCAGTTTATCCTCTGCAGCTCTAAATTTACTTTCCTTTCAGTGCCCAGTCGGCCGCCGGAGGATGTTCGATGTGCTGCGTTGACGTCCCAATCGCTACAAGTGTCTTGGCAGCCACCGCCAATTTATCATACAAACGGTTTGCTGCAGGGCTACAAACTGGTCTTTGAGCCCATCATTGATGACATAGTGCCCAATAAAGATGAGGTGGAATCGCGAAAGACAACCGCATTGACCACTGTACTCACTGGACTCCGCAAGTACACCAATTACAGCATTCAAGTGCTGGCACACACACGCATGGGTGATGGCGCTATTTCGAAGCCGCTCTTCTGCCACACCGAGGAGGATGTGCCCGAGGCGCCGTCTGATATCAAAGTGGTTGTCAGTTCGCCGCAATCACTCTTTGTCTCCTGGCAGTCACCGATCGAGCCCAACGGCGTCGTTACCAAGTACAGCCTCTATACGCGCGTCGTTAATGGACGCGAGGAGCTGAAAAATGAGAAGCGCAGCCTGCCATCACAGCAAACCTACTACGAGGCCAAGAATCTGCATCCCCACATGGAGTATCAGTTCTGGGTGACGGCATCAACGCGTGTGGGTGAGGGTAAAAGCTCACGCGTTGCCTCACAAATAACTACGAATCGTGTGCCGGCAAGAATTATTTCTTTTGGTGGTGGTGTGGTGCGGCCTTGGCGCTCCACAGTCACGTTGCCCTGCACGGCTGTGGGCAAACCCAAGCGAGAGTGGTTCAAAGCAGATGTCGCACTGCGTCAGGGCATGCATAACTCACAGCTGCTGGATACCGGCGACTTGATCCTTTCCAGTCTGCAACTGACCGACAGCGGCAACTACAGCTGCCAGGTGGATAATGGCATCGGCACGGATCGTCTGACGCACATGCTGCTCGTACAGGTGCCACCCTCAGCCCCAGTTCTGTATGTGACAAGCGCCACATCGAGCAGCATTTTGATGCACTGGAAGTGCGGCTTCACTGGAAATGCTCCTATCACTGGTTACACTCTGTTTTATCGCCGCGCCACTGGCAACACGGATGAGATGCAGCTCTCCCGGCACGCCTCTAGTCATGAGCTGAAGGGCCTCGTCTGCGGCAGCACCTATCAGATACACTTGAATGCCCACAACAAAGTCGGCAGCTCCCCAGCCAGCATTATGCTCCATGTGCGCACACAAGGACAGGCGCCAGGCATGCCAGCATCGACCAGTTTGCTGGCACCCAACTCCACGTCGGTGTTGCTGCGTCTGCACACCTGGCCGGACAATGGTTGTCCCCTGATGTACTTTGTGCTGCAGTACCGTGCGGTGACAGATGATCCCGACAGGGAATGGATTCTGGGTGAGTTTAGAAGCTGAGTTTAGTTGATTGATAATTGAAAATGATTACTTCAATCAATAAAAATCAAATCACTTTCATCATCTCAGTTTCGAATGCTCTGAAGCCGCAACGACGCGTGGTCATCTCCAATCTGCAATCATCGACGCTCTACCAGATGCGCATGGAGGCACACAATGTTGCTGGTGTTTCGCAGGCGGAGTTCAGTTTTGTGACACTCACCAAAGATGGTGATCCACCACCGCCGGAGATTGTGCAGCGTGGTCAACGGGGACCAAGTGTGTTCTATGGCAACGTTAATCTTCTCGTACCCAGCATTGCTGCTGTCTCCGGCATGATATGCACCATAGCCTTGGTTGTCATCTGCTATCGTCACAGTAAGTTTGACTGAGTGTGAAGTTTATTTGTTTACTAATTGTGTGAGTGTCTTGCGTGCTTTATTGCAGAACAAAGCAATCATATACAAAAGGAATCGCTTGAGAATCGCGCCAACTCTGAAGCGGCACAGCGTGAACGATATTATGCCACAATACATAAGGTTTCCATGCAGAACAATGACAAAATTCCGGGTAAGCGTCTGCTCAATCATAATGATCACAATGAGTTCCATCTAAGCCTGGGGCTATTTCGCAGAAACCTCTGAGGACATCTCACCGTATGCCACCTTCCAATTGTCGGAGGCGGGTAATATGTCACAGCCGCATCATGGCGGTCCAGCCAATACGCTGCTGCACTCGTTTATGTACCATGAGAGGGCTCTGGCCGAGGGCTGCTCCTCGCCACCACCAGCTGCGGTATTAAAACCAACCACCACCCATCACCACCATCACCACAACCAACGTCCACAAAAGACAATTCATAATTATTATCAGACCTCACCGTTTCATAATATCGTGCGTTTGTTTATTCATTTCTTTGATTTTAGATCTCTCTCTGTCTCTCTCTCTTGCTCTATGTCTCTCTCTCTCTCCTATTCTCGTTGTCCCCTTCTCTCGGCAGGGGGAGAGATTAGTCATACAATTAGTGTGTATTTTTCTATAGACTACTATAAGTACTACGTGCTTTTTATGTTATTTCTGTGCTCGTGTCTTTCGTTCATCTAAGTTCCCTTAAGTGCAATGCCGTACATCATTCGGGCATTGAGCGAAGCGCTCTGCCTCGTGCCACCTGTCAATTTTGAGTTTTCCTATTGTTTTTTCATTTGAAAGCGTTTACCATCCCCAGGCGCTTATGTAGTCGCTAGTCACTAGTCGCTCTGGTGCAGAAGGACTATCCCAACTAATGTCATTGTTTGTTTTATGCACAGTCCAAGAATCGACGTCGTCACTCGCGCAAGACCGAACCGGAGAGTGAGGAATCCGAATCGGATCAGGATCAATTGACTTCCAGTCGCACCGAGTCTTCCAATCAGCATGAGGGCAAGATCAAGCACAGTAAGTCGTTATCCATTGCTCCCGGTTTCAGCATCTGGAAGATATCGGTTAATACGGTCATTCCAAATTGAAGATAAGATAAGGATATGCAAATTTGAAATCTCTTGAACAGATCCAACAACAGACCTTTTAATTGTGACACTTCCAGGTGTGAGAAGATTGTTTACCTGCAACTGCCTACAGCTCTTAGTTGGGCTATCAAATGGAGTAATCTACTCGCACTTTCTCACTTTTTTGCGTTATTTTACTTTCCAGACTCAGACTCTAGACTAATTCAACATTTTCCAAATCACAACATATCGATAACTTATCTGTAGTAGATCAAGGAAACTGTGCATCAACTTTTGCCACGCAATGCTCTTGACTTTTATAGGCATACATATATATTATATATTTGACCAGTGAACTGAACTGAAGACTAAACTAAAACTAGAACGAATATTGTAAAGTGCGAAAGTTAGTCTTAAGTTAGCTATAAGTTGATATGTTGCCCCATGCCCACATGCCAAATCTCTATTTTTCCCGTATTTTCTTTCTTTCTTTCTTTCCAAAACTGTTAATGCTGTTACTGCGAAGCAGGCATCATCTACCATGGAGCACAATCAAGCACATCCTCCGATCTGTCACCAATGTCCGAACAAAAATCATTGCCACGACGCGGTCGCTCCAGGTATCATCATCAGCAATATCAGTTTTCCACCAATACAACACCGCGTCATCACAATAGCAACAAAAGCAACAACAACATTACCACAAACACGTCCACAAATACAAATACAGCCACATCGGCAACAAATTCGAGCAAAATTCTATCGCCACGCAACGGTGTTGGTGGCAATTTGAAATCCATATCGAGCACATTCAAATCACAAGACTCCATACAATGCCATATACCCACATTGGTTAAATCGCCATCAATAAGCACACAACAACAGAAACAGTTCCACAAACAACAGCAGCAGCAACATCAACAACAACAACAACATCAACAACAACAGCAATCACAGTCTAACAATATTACTAAGCCCAGTCAGAACCCCAATCAGACCCAATGCAGTAGCAGTAGTTTGAAGCAACAGCAACCACTACTGATCCAGCCCAAGCTCCATCAGCTCGAGCCGACGCCGACAACGACAATGCATGTTAACAACGGCCAGGAGCTGTTGGGCTTGGATGGAGGCGTTAGTACATTAGCATCTGTTGTGCCCGTCACTTGCATGCCACCCTCCTCACAGTTTCGACCCATACCACACAAGTCCATAATGCCCGCGCATGAGTCACACCTCAATCACCACAACCATCATCAGCAAAATCATCATCAGGGCGGTGTCCCTGGCACCGCTCTGCTTAACCCGTCGACGGCTCTGCTGTCCTCAAAGTTCTTTACGGCACCAACGCTGCCGCTGCCCAAATAGGATACGGCCAATGGGGGGAGTGAATACACAGGCGGTGCAGGTGGTGCTGATAGCAGCAGTAGCTTCAATAACGGCTATAACAGCGGCGACATTTCGTGCACCTATATGGATCCCATAGATCACACATGAGACTTGGCGTATGGTGAGGTGTGTGGTCCTGAGGGCGCCCATTAAACAGCAGCCACCACCAGCCACCAGCCACCAGCCACAAGTTGCCAACTGCCAACTAGAACCACCACTTGACACACAACTTGAACACAACTAAGTCTCTCTCTCTCTCTCTTAAATACTGAATGCTTGAGTGTGGTTGCCAGCCAAAAACAAAACTATAGTATGAAACAACTCTGGATACTCTTCTTCCCCTTCCATTCAAAACAATTATATCAAACAAATCATGCAGAGCTGGCATCCTGCGCACGCTGCATCCGCTGCAGCTGCAGGCCGAGTGCACCGCTGGTGCCTTCCATCATGGCGAGCGCGATGCTGGCGAGCACATCGAGCTGGCCGAGGTTGAGTGCGATGTGGATACGATCAAGAAGCTAAAGCTGGGACAGCGCTCGTCGCTTTGGTCGCGACCAAATTCCACCACATCCCAGTTGCAGCAGGAGCATCAGCAGCAGCAGCAGCAACAGCAACAACAACAGCAGCAGCAGCAACAACGTCAGCAGCAAGCACCACATAAGAGAGCGCATTCAAAGTCACCGCAGCCGCAACAACAGCAGCCACTACAACAACAACAACAACGACCCCAACAACATTCACCCGCTCCAGGCCAGAAATTGCTTAGCGAGAAATCGGATTATTCGATATCAGTGTGAGACATTGGTAAGATCTGATCAAAGCCCGATCAACAGTTAGGATGAGGTCAGACCAAAAGCAGACGATAGCAGTAAATCGAATTCAAATTGGGCGGCCACTCGTCAATTCTAGATTGTCGAATGCCATTTAGGTAAACAAACAAACAAACAGTTGAGCCGTTTTAGTACCTACATTTTTGTAATGCCAACACTTCAGCTCCTCCCGATATAACCGATCCACGCCGCCTCCGCCCTGACCCCATAACCAGCTTGACAACATACCCAAAACAAAACAAAAAACAAAGAAAAAAATCTGAAATGCGAAATAAAAACCCAAACACAATGGAATACTTTCGGACAATCAAAATCAAAATTATTTTGCACAACCATCCATTGAACACATCCCATTTGTTACTCTCCATTCCCGAATATTTACAATATAACGCTCATATAACCGTATATGCATATACATATATATATATATAAATTAAATAGGTAATTATTACGATTACGATGCATGTTATACGGCATGCACCCAGAACCCAGGTCAGTTATCGAACTTCCAGATACAAATTTTTTGTATATACGTACAATATATACGCTAACTTATACCTACTACTAACCTAGGGTTAAGTACTTACGACTAACTAAGTAACTCGAACTACTAACTCGAATACTATTGAATACTAACGACGCATCGCATCGTATATCGGATAAAGCGTATTAACTCGTACTACTTATAATCGAACTGTTTTCGTATGTAGAAAGGTTGTATGTAAGTATTTTGTATTTTGTATTTGTTTTTTTTTTTGTATTATTATTGTGGTTTCGGTCAACAATTTCTTTTATATATGTATACATATATGTACTCGTACTGACACTTGAGTTACGGCTAATTCTAAGTATTAATTAATTCCGTTTGAAAAACAGCATTTTCCATTTGTAAAACGAGGAATTTAAATATGAAATTACAACTAATAATTAACTCAAGACATATGCTGTGTACAAATCGATATATTTATGTCTAAATACTAACGATATTTAGTAGAAAGTATTTAATATTGGCTCATGTACATACACACACACACACACACACACACACACACATACATATACACTTACTTATATATAGATAATAAATATCTAGTTGTTAGAGCTACCATAAAGAGTACATTTTGTATATAGAGACACACACACATAAACGGATAAAACTTGACTGAAGAAAAAAAGAAAAACAGAATGAAAATAGCTCCATAATGAAATGAAATACAATGAAAAATGTTAACTAAATGTATTTGATATATATTCGATGTATACACGAGTACGAATCGCCAGCTGAATCAGTATTCATATATAATATGACACGATGTCGCAGTATCTACACAATTAATGTTTCCATTACAGTAAACTGTCGTTCGTCAACGTGTAGATAAATGTTTTTAACAAGCCAAGTATGAAAATCAAATAGAAAGTCGTAATCAAATTTTGACATATTGAATCAAACAGTAAAACACACACACACACATACACACACACACACATACACATTGTAAACTCTGAGGAGAAACGAAAAGAAAAAATAAAATAAATGGCCAAGTTAAGAGCAGTAAAGAGCAAACTACAAATTACAATTAGTTCACATAAATAATCCACACATTAATTAGCTGTATTTTAAACTAGTCAACAAAATACATAACAAATTTAGCCACAGATCAGCAGATTGAAAGTATGCAGTGAGCAAGAATCTAAAACGACTTTCAAAACAGTTTCGGAAACCATGTGCCAAAATTCGTATAAGACAAGAGTCAACCCAAAATCGTATTAACAAAATATACAATAAAAGAAATCCCGAAATGGATTCATTAGCTCCACAAATAACAATAATAAAACAAAGAATATATATATATATATATACTTACACATAGGTATACAAATATTACAACTGACAGACAGATTAGAGCCGAGGCCATTTATAAAAACCTTTGGCAGCCAAAAAAGTCTGCATTAACGTGTTTCATTTATTGCAGCGCCAGTTTCACACAAAAAAAACATATTTATAATAAAAACATAAATAGAGTAAAAAAAATCAGCTCATAATAAGTAAAAAATCAAATATTTGAATAGAATTTATGTGCTGCACTTTTTTTTTTTAATTTGTATTTAGCAAACACGATGCAGTATTTTTAATCCGTTTTTATACACCTTTTTTTTTATATAATATGTAATAAATGGTTTATTAAATTTAACATCGAATTTTACGAATTTATTACACAACACAAAAGTTGCAAGTGAAAATCAACAAACAAATCAAAACATGGCAATTTACTTAACAACCAAAAAAAAAAAGGAAAAGAAATTAATAAAAAATACAATCAAAAGGCAAAACAACAAAACAATATAGTACTAACTTATGTATGGGTAAAATAAATAAACAACATTTTTATGTTTAACAATATAATTAGCACAAAAACTACAAAATAACAACTATTAATGTAAAAACAAAAAAACAAAACAAAAACAAAAACAAAACAAAAAACCTTCAAAAGTATAAAAATAATTTTAAAAAATCGTATCGTGTTTTTTTTATGATTGCTTAAATGTTTTGGGACACAAAGGGAAGGATGTGAAATGTGGGGATTGAAGATAGAAGATATGAGACTGCAGTCGTCGACGCTTTTTAAATGCTGACTCTTCCACTACGATGCCAGCGATACCAGGGTGATTTGTGTATTAAATGGATCAACAGCAGCAACAGCAGTCGTTTTGCGAAAGTGTTGATATGAATATTATACATTTTCATGTCACATTTTAATAGACGCAAAAAGGTGTTTTCAAATTAAAATATTAAATCTAATTTAGTGATTTTCCGTTTTAAGCCCTCACATGTAATTCAAACGTAACAGAATGTTACTTGACATGCCAAAGAATATGGTTTGAATATTAGGTGTGTCCAAGGTTTTGCTCCTCCCTAAATGATTTGACAGCAACCAACTAAAGTGTTATACGCTGTAATTCGATAACAGAGTACGTCATGTGCCTTGCGTCTTGGCTAACGAATATTCAACGAATCTGTTGCCTGTGTACTAAAATTAACGAGCAAACTCCACACTTAACGAAAGTTCGACGAACTCCGCACATAACGAATATACTGTACACTGTAACAGAAATGCTCCACACGAAACGGCTATGCTCCTCATAAAAACTGTTATACAGATAGGCATAAGAAGTACCGCAGCTGTAGAATGTAGTTTAGAAAATTCCCAAATTATAATATAATTGGTTTGTCAACTCTGGACTGGCCATTGCCTTGCTGTTGTTTCGGTGTCGCACAGACTATGGACACCATCAATCACCACAGGCAGACGACACACACACACTATCACCCGCACGTACGCACACACACACACACACACATGTACAGATGACAGACAATTTTTTGTGCGTTTGAATGTGAAAAATGTCGATCAAGTTAAGACATGACCAATAAAAAAAGGGTTAGCCAAAGAGCAAAGCTGGCGTGCAAAACCAAAATTAACAAAAAAATATGCCAGCATTAAAATTTAAAATGACCAACTAATTAATATGCTAAACAGCTGACAATTTTTTTGTTTGCTTGCCCTCCAACCAACCAAACCAATGCAAACTTGGCAGCATCAAAATTTGTTGTTTTATTTTTGATTACTTTTATTACATGACAGTTGCTGTTTTTTTATGTGCAAGATGAAATGGCCAGAAAAGCAATAAAGTATGTATAGATATATGTATATTTATATATGATATCTGTGTGTGATGTCTATAAATATAAATTGAAAGGGAAACCTTAGCAAATTTGTTGTTCTTTGTCACTTTGCAAGCAATTTTCGTGCACCCAAAAAAGAAATCGAATCGTGTCTGGTCAGTTGTGAGCCACAGACAATTTTATATATATATATATATATATATATATATATATATATATGTGTATTCCGCACGTGACCATAAATGCGTCAGTTTGTCTTTTGGCATTTTGTGTATTTCGGTCATGTAACGGTAAAAATTGTTTGCATATTGTTTTGTGGCATTGGCGGCGCCATTGTGATTTGCTCGTCGCCTCAACTATTGCGAAATGTGTGCCACAACCAGTAAGGCAAATGAAGCGATCGTAATGATGCACAAAAAGCTGCCACCCACACACACACACACGCACACACCCACACACCCATGAAAAAAGAGAGCAGAAGAAAACAACGACAATCAACAAAGCAAGTTTCGCTTTCCTTTTCGCTTTTGTTAAGCAAATTAAAACAAAATATGTGCACAAAAATATATATATATATATATGTGTTTTATGTGTGGGCCGTGCAACTAACGGGATCTGGCACGGCCACTGCCACTGCCACCAATTCATTCGTCACGCACGTGCGCCTGCGGCTATGCAACGTTTGTTGCCTGCACCAACTCCACTTCCCCCCCTGCGTATTCCTTGGCCACTCCTTTAAGCCACAAGTCTACACACTCAAATTAATGGCTGCCATTGCTATAAGTTATGCAGCTGCATATTAAACTTCTTCCGTCTTGTGTGAGCGAGAAGAGAGAGAGAGAGAGAGAGAGAGAGAGAGAGAGAGAGCCTATTTGTGCTGCTTGTCCCTAGCCAATGCTTTGCGGCATTTACACCAATTATAATACTAACTCACCATCACACACACACACACACAAACACACACATCACATCACACACACACACACACACACAATTACACACACAACTACGCACAGAGGCAGCCAACAAGTTATATCATACTGTGATTGAGAATATATTGCATTGCTAATGGTCAATTTTCACACGCCTGCTTAAGCAAATGTTGGTCGATCCAGTTGGGAGAGAAAGCTCTCTGCCTGCCTGCCACCTTAACTGCCACGTGCTCCGCCTTCCCACCCTGCCCCCTTGACTGTTGTGTGCGCTGCATATACAAATAAGCTGAGGCTGGAATAGATACACACGCACGGGGATGGACAGGCGTATCGTCAACCTACAGTTCGGACTACATATTTACACATTAGGTGCGATCATAAATCAGTTGGATTCAATTCACTTGGGGCTATTGCATGTGCTAATTTTGGTAAGCAGCTTTAACCTATCAGTGATATGAGCTGAAAGTGCTGCTTACAACGAGCATGTCTTAAGTAAATAAACAAGTGCATTTTGTCTTTTAACTTTTGCTTGTGCTTGTGCTTCTCATGCTTGTCGTTTGGGAATGTACACTGATATTTACTTCCTGGCAGAGTGATGGCGCAGCTATCATTTGTATGGGTTAACACGAGCTTAACACGCTCAGTTCCGGAAGCTGTCCGACTGACAGTCGCCTGGAATTTAAAATTTGATTGTATGCAGCAAAGTGGGGCGCTGGCGACAACTGTGAAGGACAACAGCTCCTAGATGGCGACGGCGCTTCTTTTTGAGCCGCTGCCAAGCATCGCGAAAACTTTGAAGAGCAGCCAGGAAAACACTCACACATGCAACACAAGCAAACAGACACACGAACAGACAGACAGACAGGCAGACAGACAGACAGACACATACACATACTATGTCGTGGCATGTCTGTCACCAGTTACCAGCTCAACGCCATTTCAATGTCTGCAATCTATCTCACCCACCCAGCCAGTCTCACTCGCACTCGCACTCGCACTTTGACTGGCACTCGTTCCTCCAGCTACTTGTCGTTTGCTCTTGATGGCATTTGGTGATGATGCGCTTAAGTGCGTTGATTGCACAAAAATTGAATCTT